GCAATGCGCATGCGCACTACGCAAATTCGATAATTCCATCAAATTTAGAATCTAATTATACACATACATACCAAGTTTGATGAAAATCGGATAAGAAATAAGAAAGTTGGTAAATTAAGTGGAGGTATACCTTCAATATGCTGCCGTGAGCTTAAACTAAAATATGACATGATTCAATCCACCTAAAAGCTTAATTTTATACCATAACTGGACAAAGATCATTTTTAAGAAATATAAAAGGGAGGGTATCTTTAAAACAACTTAAAATTTGATTTCTGTTGGGGTTGACAGCCAGGTTAATCTAATTAGCCGATTTATCTAATAATAACCCCATGTTAAGTGAATGGAGTTTTGAATTTGCATGTAAAGTATGCATGTTATATATCTATGGAAAGCTGAGAATCTTTACATTACAAAATCGAAAGAATTATTGCCATATCTCTATTAGGGACCGAGATAGAGCACTTTAAAGGCTCAAAATGGTCCATATTTAGACCCCTGTAAAATCGGAAATAGGTATCTGACCCCAAAGGTCAAAAGGTCAGCAGATAGACAAGGTCACAAATTATCATCACAGTAAATATGGAGGTCATCAAAGGTCAAGGTCATGAGATATACGCCTTCAAACTTTGAAAAAAACAATCCGGTCGTACAAAAAAGGCAAAACCGAAAATCAAAATTATGCTTCCTATCATTTGTAGACAAACATTAAACGTATCGTTTGACATAAACGTTACGCAAATCGGATTAAAAATGTATTCTGGGAATCGATTTGGACAAAAATGAGGCAAACCAATATTGCGACAAACATGTTACTTCCGGTACGATTTTTTTTAGTTTAAAAGGTTTGTATTAAGGCTGGTAATATAATGCATATGTTACTTTTGACATAAATCAATTCCACCGGAAGTGACGCCACCGGAAGTACTAACATCGAAACCGGAAGTAATGAAAAAATTTTGAATGTGTGCTTTTATTCCACTTTGCTGGCGGTCTACACCATGTAAGTTTCAAGTCAATCCGACAAATAACAACCGAAATAGTATTTTTCGATTAATTTCGGCAAAATAAAGTATGCAACGAATTTTCGAAAATCGAAAATTTTTAACTGCTATCATTTGCCCTTTGTTACAAGAAATACAATGATAGAAACCCGATCAAAATCGGTTGATAAACATGCCCTCTAGAGGCGATTTTCTGTTTGTTGCAAACGTCGCTTCATGTTGCTCAGAAAATTTTCGTTTTACATTCATTCCACAATTCTCCACAGGTTAGAAAACATGGTGAAATCCGTTTTGCCGTACCCGTTGCCGTTTCCGAGAACTAAGCTCCCGGGATGAAGAAAAAAAAAAAAATAATAAACAGTTCGTTTTACGAACGCCCTGCAAAAAAAAGAATGGACATTTAGATAACAAACACAATAAATCAGTCAAATACATATAGTCATTATAGTCATCGTTATTATCTATTAAAACTGTTATGTTATCTGCATAATTTCAAAACTGATTTGAAAATGAAAACCTTTATCCTACCTAATGAAGGTTATGAATTATGATGAAATAAACAGTAAATCAATTAAAGGAAAATACTGATCTGTTTCATTTTTTCTGTGGTTTAGTAGAATTCATATTAATGAACTAGTGGAATGATAAGTGGAATCAACACAGGAAAAATAGGAAATGATTCAAAGAGGTCAGAATTTTTTTTTTCAGAATTAAAAAGAATTGCTTTGATATGTCAAACCTTGTAAAAATATTTCGTCAAAACACTTATTTTTTTAAGTGATTTCAGCTTTTCAGACTTGCACAACCAACATATTGAAACTGGATTAAGAAATCTCTGATTTTTGCTGTTATTGAACCCCAGGTTCAGAAAGCGGAGTCTAAACTCACTAAGCCAACCCTGCACAGATAACAATGTTGCATAGCCCTTAATTCATAATATCACAGTTTAAGATTTATCAAATCCAATGAATAATAGCTATGGGATTGATGTTATGAGAATATTGTCCCGGTTGGAAACTATTTAGACAGTGAGTAAACACAGTAAATGTTATAGAGAGATCAGTGGGTGGAGGTTAGCTACTATATAGGATCTAGCTTGTTGTTATCAATATTCAATAATTGTATATATAATAGTCAATATTCACACCTATTTAAACTCTAATCTTATAGTTGTCTACCATATCTCATTACCTATGTCCTAAACCACCTTGTTGATGTCACACTTCTCTCTAACCATAGCTCATAGTAAGAATGTGATGGCAGATGGAACCATGTATTGATTAGTTTCTCTGTTTTTATCAGAAAAATAAGGTCATCGGCCATCGTGTCTGAAGTTAATGTTGAGGATAATGTTAATCGTGTTAAGATTGACTGATAAATTCCCTTCATATGACGCTGACAAGAGAAAAAGGTTTTTATAATCTCTTAAAGATTATAATGATTAAGATGAAACTGCTTTATATACATATTTATATCAAGGAAGTTTCATTATATTTTAACTCTGATTTTTGTTTCCCTGTAGAATAAAGTTGACACTAAACTGGTATTAAAATCAATGGTATTGTCTGAAACATAGTGAATAGTTTTTCACCTCAATAAGAGAGTCTGTAATAAATATCACATTTTAAGAGTGAAAATATTATGTGACTGTATTTCTCCATTACTATGTTTTCTTTTAAGACACCATGAAGAAGTTGAAAAATTGATAATTATGAAATATATATTGAAAATATAAGCTACTTTTTCTTCAATTCATTTTATTAATGTCTGCTCACAACTATGTATTGTATTTTATTTTCACATTGACTTTCTTTATCAAATCATTACTGTGTTTAATATAGAAATATTCAAATAGGAGTATAACCTTACTTGCATGTAACTTTTCTGGGAATTGGTCTGATTTAGACAATTTTCCACAATAAGATTTAGTTCTAACTCTGATTTAAGAATATGGATTAAATATTTTGAAGTATGTACAGTAAATTAGCATAAAATGGCACCTAAGATGATTATTATTGATCAAGTTATTTTGTCAAATCCACTTTAAATTTTGGAACTGCCAACCGATGATGTATTTGGCTGTCATGTACCTTCTTGTTAAGATTTATTTTTTTTATCAGATATATTTTAGTGGACATAAATTTCCTATTCTGAATTTTGTTCACATATATTTTCAAGATTTACCTACATTGACATGTGAGTTAAGAGTAGTTTCCTAACTGTATAAATGATCATAGAAAGATATGTTAGATAAGCAGATAATCAGATTTGAAAATCTGTTACAATAACCTGGTTTTAAGTTAAGTTGGAAATTGCAAAACTTTTTAACCAAATGTGTCACAATATTGATATTTATAAGATTCTTTGGAATACTTCAATATGGGTTCCCTTATTTTTATTTATTAAAATGAAAATGCTAATACTTATATGTATAGAAAGTAGAGGTGTTCTAATGACTTAAAAAAATATCAGATTGTCTCACATGTCCATAATTAATTCACAGTAGAATTACCAGTAGAATTCCAATGAGTGACAGATCAAGAAAGGTCAAAAAGTCTTTTTGTTACGCCCACATGAAATGGAAATGAATTGCCGTCACCTAGGTCCGTCGGTCCGTCCACAATTGCTCGTAAACGCTCTACAAGACACAATTCTTGACGGATTTTGACAAAACTTGGTATGAATGTTCGTTATCACCCAAGTATGAACCCTATTGAAAATCAGAAGAATCGAAAAATATTTAGTACAAGTTATTGCCCTTGTACTTGAAAACGCGTTCAATTTTGGCTCGTAAACACTCTTGAAGGGACAATTCTTGATGGATTTTAACGGAACTTGGCATGAGTGATCGTAATCACCCAAGGATGAACCTTATTGAAAATTAGAAGAATCGAAAAATATTTAGTATGAGTTTTTGCCCTTGTTCTTGAGAACGTGTTCAAGTTTTAACTTGTAAACACTCTAGAAGGGACAATTCTTGACGGATTTTGAAGAAACTTGGCATGAGTGTTTGTTATCATCCAAGGATAAACCCTATTGAAAATCCGAAAAAATATTTAGTATAATTAGTTATTGCCCTTGTTCTTGAAAACTTGTTCAATTTTTAGCTTGTAATCACTCTAGAAGGCACAATTCTTGAAGGATTTGATGAAACTTAGTGTGAATTTTCGTAACCACCCAATTGAAAATCAGAAGAATCGAAAAATATTTAGTATGAGTTATTGCCCTTGGTCTTGAAAACGCTTTCAAATTTAGCTCTAAAACACTAAAAGGCATGATTGTTGCTGGATTTTGACAATACTTGATTTTATTATTCAGTTCCGCTCTGAAGAATTCAAAAGAATATTTCATACTGGTAATTGTTACTGTACTGCTAAATATTTTTATTCAAAATCAAAGCTGCCAGTGGGCGTATATTACTTTGCCTGGCAAGTTATCTTTTGTTTATCCATACTGTATATACATTTATGGACATTTATAATTGGTCAAGACTCTTTATCATATGCAATAAGAACAGAATAATATGATTAAGAAAATTAGAAACACAAATTAATCAAATAGTTTGCTTAATTTGACACTAAAAACAAAGAAATCCATCTTTAATATCACTATTGCCTCCTGTAGGAAAATATACTGTATACTATACAGGTGACATAAACTCTAGTGTACTTATATATTTTATGATAACTTATAAGTTTGTTATAAGTTATAACATTGACCTCAGTAACTTATCATTTCTTTAATGTTATAAAATCATCTAGTATCTAATTATTATACTTCTCACATTTAAAACAACATTTCATATAAACTCATGTTATACCATAAAAGCATTAAATTTAATAATGTTTATATAGACAAATTATACTGCTCAATACTTCACTGGTATACATGGTGATCAGATAATTGAATCGAAATCTGTTATTCTGTATTTTACTTCTTCCCCTTATTATTGTTGATTTAAAGATTGAGAAAAACATTTGTAGATTTCATTTAGATATGATGCTTAGTTGCCTATGTATTGAATTAAATAATGATAAAGTAGGTGCACCGGCAGTAGATCAAGATGAGCAGCCATTTGATGTTATTAATTTGTATGTTTCAGGGAATGATAGATGTTTCTCTTGGTACACCAATACAAGATGCTTCAGTTTATCAATTTCCATTAGATTTAGTCTCAGAACTACTGCAAGAGGTTAGTATGAACTTGTTTTTACTTTGTGTTTAAACCCAGCATCTCTCGATAACGACATAGTTTGCTGGCACTTTTGTCTGTCCACCCATTCACATTTATGCTAATACGCTCTAATACTTCATCTCTCATATAGTAAATTTGATTTTCTGACATTCAGTATTCAAACCAACCTTGATCTTTGTCAAATCAGATATTTTGCACGAAAGAAACTTTCTTAAACTATTGACTTGTTAATTTATTTGAGGTCATATCTTAGCCCATGATATGTGTTCGTTTATTTATGAATATTGATATATTTCAGAATTCTGATGTTATAACCAAGCTGGCCCATGAAAATATTATAGTAGCATTGACTCCATTGTTAGAAAATAATCATCCGACACAAGAAATATGTGATTTTTTTAGTAAGGTGAGTAGACAGTTTATGATTTGATTAGTTTGGTAAACAGAAGAGAAAGTGTGGCAATTAGGGTGAACAGATAGACTATGACAAGTATAATAAGATAAGACAATATTAGGAGACAGGCAAGTTGACATATTATAAATAATCAGAATTGATATCATATAAACAATGTTTATACAAACAGTCTTGACGCTGTAACAGCTTTCTCTTTGATAACTTTCTATACAGATCTATTAACAGCAGTTAATTGGGTTACTTTTGTTGCTTGTATCATTAAAAATAGCTTGTAAGGCAAAGTAACATACGCCCACTGGCAGCTGTCAGAAATGATAAAACAGTCTTTAGTGACTAAAGTACGAATTTTCTCATATTGAAGAAATTTTATTAGTTTGAAGTCAATTATATATATATATATGCCAGTTATTTATGCTGAGTAATTCCACAAAATTTGTTAAAATCAATATCAATAACCCAAATACAACAAACAATTAAATCACACAGCTCTTAATCAAGGGCAAAAAAAAAATTTTGATGCGTTTTTCCTAAGTCAAGGGCCATCACTCAAAAATAGAAAAGTCATCAAGTTCAAATTTGTCCACGATCTCATCAATATAAATGATCACACCATTATTGGGATTTCTAAATCTCAATCTCACTCTAACACCAAATTTCATTAAAATCTGTTGAAAACTGTAGTCTCTATTGTGTTCACAAACAAATTTGGCACGTTTTTTCCAAAAACCGTTGATCGAAAAATCATGAACTATTTTTAACAAATTTCGACTCATTTTAAGAAAAGTCAAGGGCAATATCTCAAAAACCGTTCTTGACCGAGATCAATCTAAAGCACCACACCAAGTTTATCAAAATCAGATGAAAACTGTAGTCTGTATATTGCTCCCAAGAAATGTTGACCGACGGACCAACAGACAGGGGCAACGACAATATACGATCACATATTTATGTGGGTGTATAAAAATGAAAAATTTACAGAAAATTTCAAGATATGCATTCAAAACAGTTTGACCTCCAGAAAATAGCTTGCAAAAATGTAATCAATGTTACCTAGCAATATGATAACCATTACAAATATAACATTCTTTTTTTTTTATAGAATTAACATTCTTCAGTATTATGAAAGTTATTAAAGTAGTATTCTTTGGAATATAAAGCAATATTCTTCATTTTTATAGGAGGAAATATCCCCCGTGAATTTAGTTATTTTAGTATTCTACTCATGAACATTCTACATGAAACACATTTAAATGGAACATGTAGATTGATTTCCCACTTGATTGAAGTTGTTTTTAGTGAATTTTTATTTGTATTATCATTTTATGTGACAATCCTTTTGAAAGTATGGAATTTCCTATGAATATTATGTTTATTGTATAAAGAATATAAGTCATTGATATACCAAATAGTTCAACTGAAATGATTATACACATTATGCATTCAATAGAGTCATCTTACAGATATCTGAAAATTTGTAGACTAAATCAAGACATTCGTTTCTAGTTGCCCTTTTTATACCCCCACATCACTCTATGTGGACATATATTGTCGGCATCCCTGTCTGTCTGTCCGTCCGTCCGTCAACATTTGCTTGTAAACGCTCTAAAAACTAGATTTTTTGATGGAATCAAATGAAATTCGGTATGTGTATACATATTCATAAAAGGAAGAGCAAGTTCGAATTTGAGCTATTTTCAACCGTTAGAAGCAGAGCTATTGCCCTTGCTCCATAATCTTGAATATGCAATTTCTCTCTTAGTTTTCAACTGATTTTGATGAAACTTAAAATGGATGTTATTGGACCTAAATCGAAAGGTTTGAGAATGTTTAGTATACTTCTGATTATTAAATTCAAGGCTTTTTCAACATTTACACCTCTTACGTCAGTTTTGAGGAGTTATCGCCCTTTAACCTCTATACAGTAAGTGCTTCTAATCAACATCAATTGCTCGTAAACGCTCTAAAAACTAGATTTTTTGATGGAATCAAATGAAATTTGGTATGTTTATAAATATTCATAAAACCGTTCATTGAAAATATGTCAAATTTGAACTTGACTGATATCTTATCAATCTAAAGCATCACACCAAGTTTATCAAAATCAAATGAAAACTGTAGTCTCTATAGTGCTCCCAAGAAATATTGACCGACCGACAGGGGCAACGACAATATACGGCCACATATTGATGTGGGCGTATACAAACAAAGATCAAGCTTGAATTTGAGCTTTTTTCGACCGTTGGAAGTAGAGTTATTGCCCTTGCCCCAAAATCTTGAATATGCTATTACTCTCTTAGTTTTAAACCGATTTTGATGAAACTTAAAATGGATGTTTCGTTTTTACCATCCGCATGCCGTGAAGGGTGTATATGGCTGTGGTCCACTATCTTTACACTATGCTACTATGCAGTGTTCCATTATTGGTCCATAGCAGGTCTAGATAAAATATGCCTATTTTTATTATGATAGTTAAATAAAGTGGTTTGAGAATGGTTCTACAATTAACTTAATGAAAACCTTTCTTGTTAGCTTATTTACAGAACATTTCTTGAAGTTGAATTGTAGTCCCGAAAAGAATAAGAATGGCTCTGAATAATGATGAAATTCCGTTGGGAAATGGTGAAGATAGCTTAATATTATATGACATTTCAGTAAACCACTACATTTTAAAAAAAGTACACCATTTTATCAATCCAATACCACCTCTTTTAGGCTTGTCAGAATTGGAACAGTTCTCAGGAAACTTGCCTGTTTACTGTTTCTTTCGGAATGGTTAATTTTTGGAATGTAAAATTGACACCCATGTTCATTCACATTTTTCACACATTTGCTCAATGTTATCTTGTTTTATCTGTCAAATATAATTTTTTACATTGTACATCACCCACCAACAGTCCTAAAAGAATATAATCATACACATTTTTTTTATTATGTTGTTTACAGTGTTGAGAATATAACAGCATAAACCTGGAGTCAGGATATTTTATATAGAAACTGATAACTGATTAAAACATAAAGCATATGATTAATCTTATCTCTAGTTGTAAATTAAGACAAGTACATGTTTTTGATTAAAATGTACAATCTTTCTTTACACTGCTATTTCATCAAGTTTGTTACATGTTTGAATATAGATAGGTTAAAGTGATTATATCAGAACATTCAGATTTGGTTTCAGATTTTACCTCTTGCAACTGACAGCTGCAACAAATTGTAGACTTGCTGTTAACAGTTTTTGATCAATATGTTAAGTTAAAACATTAGATATATGTAAAAGATTTTGATTTTTAATAATCTATTAGTGATTATTTCAATGTCATGTGGTAACGTTTTAGAAAAGTGTGCACCCTATATCAAAGTTATCAATATTCCATCATCGAGATACTATTGATCTTTCTTTCTAACTTTGTTACTGTCTTCAAAGTCATGACATCCAAATAGTTGTAAATTTTCATGAATAAAAGATAAAGGGTAATAAAAGCTTGCATTTATTCCTTTGTCAAATGAACTTTTTTGTTTTTTTTTATATGATCTGTGGTTGAGAAATCCTCTGTGGTACATTGGTCTTCTGTGTATTTGATGTAGATCAACGTAAATAGATCTCAATGCTTTAGGGTGTAAGCTTCAAGTTAAAAACCCTCTGACATTTTACATCAATGTTAGCTGAATGAGATTGCAAAGCTACATTTTACCCCATTTATATTAATCTGTGTCATCAAGGTTGGATGATTAATTGGTACACAGAAATCCATTCAAGAGATATATGAGAAGCATGTTGTAGTGTAAAGTATCTTGTAAAATTACCTGGGTTTATATAGCGGTGACCTCTAATAATTATCTCAGAAATCCAATACCCTGCATTATTACTCAATGTAATTATAGATTGAATTATTTCAGACTGAAGTTTACAGGCAGAATGAGTCATGTGATAATGGCATGAGAACTGGAGCAGATTGTATTATAATTGATGAGATTCTCTAATAACCTGATCATATCTTCTACACTGATATTCATTCTAAAGATTTTATAGCCCTTTACAATCATTCTTAGTTTTTCTATCCATTTTAAGTGGATTGGTTTCTATGCCATTGCATAAATTTCAATCAGATCAGAGTACCCGGAAAAATAAATTAGCTCTTTATCTTTAGATAAATTGGACTATAAGATAAATTCCTGCATTAATTTACTGGAATAGTTCTTCAGAGTTCTCCTAATCAAACTCAAGACTAACATCCAGTTCCTTTAAGCTGACATTATTTTTTTGTGTTTTGTGATAAGGAGAAGAATTATGTTTTCTTCTTCCTTTAACATATTTAACTATCAGAAAAGTTTCAAATCATGACAGAGGTTAATGTTAATCTAGAGTTAGTTAACCTTTATCTGAGTCCAACACCAGTTGTTTCCTGACTTGACATAATTGAGGATGATATTATAGTTTCAAGTGGTAATGTTGTGCAATGGAAACAATCCTCTTATATCTAAATGTCAAAAATAAAAATTTCTGTATTAGCTACCTTAGTGAACATGTTGATGCTATTGAAACCTAGTATACTTCCTGTAACTAAGTAGAGTTTGATATAATCTCTCATACAGAACTATTGAATTGGAATTTGACATTTACATTCAGAAATTCAGATTTGTAACTAACTTTCATTATGAATATGTGGACAAGTCCTAAAGAAATATTATATATTTTGTAACTCTGATGATTGAAGAAGACAAGTCAACAACCTGTACCTAATCTTGTGTCAATTTCATTAATACAACATTTTGCTTCATGTTGGTCCATATAGATAACAACTAATTGTATCGCCTATTTGTATCCATTTATAGATAAGATTTTCATGCAGAATTTTAATTTCTCAGGTATACAAAGCCAATCCAAAATAGTTTATAATTGATATAAACTTTCTCTTTGGTTTCCATATTGGTTTTAAGGTTTTAGTTTAACATCAAAAAGGAATAATACACTTATTGTTCACACCTTCTTCTTTGCTTTATAGCAGAATTTCCACTTTCCAAAATATAAATTATATAAACTGGAACATAAAGTTGTTATCAGATATCTAAATTTTAATCTGAGACATCCTTTATTCTCTAAGGTTATTGTAGCTTATTTTGGAACTAGTGACATTAGAAGTTATTGAGTAGTAGGTGAATTCCAGTGGATTAGAGGCATAAATAAGGCATGGTCTGTTATAATATAGGTTATTTATAATTAGGAAATAGAAAGGCTAATGTATTTACTGAGCACAAGTTCTCTAAACAAACGAAGAGTATGTATCTGGTTGGTTTATATAATGTTACTATTTGATTTAGTTTATTTTTAACTATGTTTATATCTTCGCCCTATCTCTGTAACATTTCAATCCTAGTTTACAATTTAACATTTCTTGAGAACACTGAGATGTTGAAAATTTTAGACCCTTGTTGTCTTTGGTGGTTAATGTGTCCATTTGAGTGCTTTGCTCATTTCTACAGTAACAGATCCCATGAATTGCCAGTATAACTGATTTTACTCTGAAATTTTTAAAAGATGGCTGTTATTTAATAAAAAGTTTCATGATTTTGCACTGTTTTAGTACATGTCTAGTAACAGTTTTGCTAAAAATCATATTAAATATAAATCATATTCTCAATGTATTTTTGATATTTCAGCATTGTAAGAATAGTCCAAGATCAAGTATAGTGATTGAATTATTTACACCAGTTGTACATAGAATATTAAAACATAATATGGTGAGTAACAATTTTTAAATTGAAGGCAAATAATTTGTAAAATTTGATTATTTCATCAAAAATGGAACATTAGCCTCCAGTGACCCTAAATATTTTAAAAAAACTAGTTAATGAGTAAAACTAATATTGTAGCTAATTATATCTTTATGTGAACCTATTAATGATTATATCTAATTGAAAATAAATGATGAAAGGAAAGAATTATTGTGTATTTGGTTATGTGTGATATTTATATTAATAGATATGACATTTTCAGCTGTTGGTTATTTTCTATGATTTTAATTATATGATACAACTCCAGGGAAATAATGTATTGATATAATTTCTCTTTATCATGTGCACCAAAATGTATATTGAATGGTTTTCACAAGAAGTAATTAGTGTTAAATTTTCATGTCCTTTGCAATATGCTGTGAATATGGTCTTGAAAGATCCTTTCTAAGATGATAGAATTTATTGACTTCTACAATAATTAGTGCACTTTGTGATGATTAGTGTAAGAGGTTTTCTAGCCCTTTTATGTGTATCAGTGTCATGACATCTCTTTCACAAAAGCTAGTAATATTTAAGGGCCTTTGGGATAGCTATATCAGAAAGTGTTAGTTTGAGTGGAATTGCAAAACACACAGATGATTGACTGAACGGTCACAGATAGACATCAAAAGTTTAGAAAACTTATTTACAATCCCTTTAAGACATACGTTAAATAGCTTGTTAATCAAAATGAATGTAAAAAATGAATTTTATGTGCAATACATGTTATTATCTATAACATAATAGATTTATATAAGGTATGTGTCTTTAAGTAATAAGTTTTAACATAAAAGTTCCAATTTACATAAGATTTAAAAAAAGAAATCTGCTTAGATCCAAAGTGTCGAAGATTTTGGTTTATTAAAAAATTGGTAATGTGATTTAAAATTACTTTCAAAGTCTTATATTAGATGATTATTGAAATCATGCATCGAATAATACTCTCTTTTTTCAAAAGTATGCAAGTAATTTATAATATTGATTGGTTATCTGGAATAATCTATACTATTATAGTAATTTATATCTGAGGTTATTTCTTTTGATCTTAGACGAATCTCTCTAAAATAAACACTCAGATAACCTCCTTATTTAAAGTGATATTGACAGGTTCTTTTAAACGAGAAGCAATTATTTTGTAAAATCACTTTATATGTCAATCTGTATTTAGTAAAAGTTCTTTGTTTTGCATGATACTTGTAAAATTTAACTTGGTAAATTTATTTTTAAGGATTTTGGAAAGTATCCACGTATGAGATTATTTGTACAAGAATATATTCAAGCATTAAATTGTCAAAATGATGGAAAACGTGTTGTCAGTACATTTGTTAAAAGGTACGAAAATGATTTTTTATCTTGGTAATTTGCCATATGTCTACCCAAAGGTATTGATAGGTTAGAGGTTATAATAATGATGATATAACATCAGCTTCAATACCACTTTACTGTCACTCTCATTTTCTATATCATTATAAAGTTGTTCACCTCATTTGGAAATGTTCACAAACTGAAACACTCATTAAGTACAATAATAAAGATAATCTGGTGAAATAACATTTAACTATGATTGGTTTACATAGGAAACATAAGTCGTTTGAATAATTTTATACATATGCTTAAAGAGTCTTCTTCTTGTAGAATGTTTCCAACTTATTACTTGATATTTTAAGTCGTTATTTTAGAAATTTGCAACCCACTATTTACATTAGATTTCTTGATAGATTTTTATATAATTATGTATGAAACATATAAACAGCTTAAACATGTGTCTTTGTTAATTATTATTCTCGTTCAATATCATAAGAAATAAGAAGAATCTGCAATTTGATTTATTGTTTGTCTTTCAGCATGCACGGTGCAGGTAGTTCCTGTCCTCACCCTCGTGTCCTACCCAATATTGTAGCAGTATGTCTAGCAGCCATTTATAATTATTATGAAGAGAAGAAAAGGTGAAATTTTATTCATTTGAAGAAGGCTGAAAAAAAAAAAAAAATGAATGGAGTTTTATGTCCTACTTATTGAAGAAGGCTGAATCATGTCTTGTAATTACTCTATAATATGAATGAAGGCATGACCTTGAATGAGAGCGCAGGTTATTGATAAAATAACAATAATTAATAATAATTAAATAAAAGAAATTCAACCTGATCTGTATGTAATACAAACCTTATGACGCATAGAATATCCAGGAAAAATAAAAATAAACGTAAGGATTGTTAAGTTGGTACAAAACGTCCCTTTCTGTGTTTGAAACAATTGTCGTAATTTATTTAAAGAATTCCAGAATATTCACTCCGATCTACCCCGATTGACTGCGATCTAGTTGTCAACAAACATGGCGGCCCCCATGATCCGCCATCTTTTTTCTCACTTTTTTTTTGACTACCCGTGGGGCATAAATTTTCTGAAACGAATTGATGTATATGTGTGTGTTACCATTATAGAGAGCTTCGCTCTCGAAGGCTTCGCCATCAAGAGAGCTGTGCTCTCATATAAGTTATTTAAATTGAGAACATGCGATGTGCCAATCAAAGCTTGATAAAAAGGCAGACACAGTTCCAGATATTATACTTTTAATATACTTTATTTTAACTGCTGTACATTTTGTTGGATAAATAGTCTTGTTTCATGACATTGTGAAATTTACTTGAAGATAAATTTAAAAATGTTGATATTTTCAGTGCTATGCAAAATAACTTGGATAGAAGTTTTGATGCAGTAGAATGGAAATCTAAACTAACATGTTATGTATCTATATTAGAGACAGCGTATGTATTCATTTGGTTCTTTAATAAATCACTTTACATTTCTTTACTTATTCCAAGAATGTTAGGAACCAATCACCCAACCGCCTCCCCCTCCCCCTTTTTGAATCAATGAAATCAATGACTTATTTTGAGTATGTGAAATTTTGATTTATTTCTTATCATGTCATGTATTTCTTAAAAATCTTATTTTTTGTTATAGATCTGAGTTTGAAGATTGGAGAATTGTTTTAGGAAGTTTACTACAACCGATACCTTTTCCTGATGAGTAAGTTTCAATCCTTAGTGCTCTTTTGTTTTATTTATACTTTTGAACTTGTTGACGTCATTTAATAACCAATGATCTAAATAAGACTTTTTGTATTTGTAAATGGGGTAAAAGATATCCAATATTGTAAATATATTATCAAATGAACATGAATATTAGACAGAACTTGAAGGATCTCAATTTTCAATAATTCAACACTATATATACTATTTGATATACCAGACAGAATGTAGATGATATGTATGTTCTGTAAGATATTTCAACATTTAGAGCAATGATAAAACTTGATACTACTCTATGGTATTCTTATGTGTTCAATGTATATTGTTATTGTTCTTTACAGTGCTATAGCCGACCAAGATTTTTCTTCGTAAGTTTTATTCCATATAACATATTCCTATATGAGTGCTAGTTCAAAATCTTATGTTCTATAAAGTGGGTGACCACTTGAAACCTCTTATATGCCATATTTGATCATTCTCAATTTTTGATTTGGTTCTAAAGCTTGTAAAAGCTTGAGATCAAAACATCATATAACTCGCTTGTAAATAACCCAAAATGACCAATTGATTATTAACAGTCAGTTTAAAAACCTCCTAAAAGATTATAGTTGAGGTTTTAATCTTTTTTTCTGCAGATGGAAACAGAACAACATGTACTATGATACAAGTTATTAATTGAATAGGTCAGAGTTCTTGAATTACTCTACAAGGTATTATTTGTCAAAGAATGAAAATCACTTATAGCTGTCATATGTCCTACTATGTTTCAAGCGGTTACCCACGATATATAACTGAGAATTTAACGTTAGACATTTTATGTTCTATATTTTTGTGTAAGAATTGAAATTCTTTCCTTATATTTGTCTGATAGTCGAATATATAAAGTTCTATTTATGTTATGATAGCTGAAGAATTTAGGTTTGATATATTTGTATGACAGTTTAACATGTATGGTTATATTTCGTCTAGAAGTATGAAAGATGTCATACATAATATAGCATCTGATGTTAACTGTGATGTACACCAGACAGTACTGGGTATAAGAGAAGGTAAAGAAGGATGGTTTCACCTGTATTGTCCTGGTGGAATAGCATGTGATGATGAGGGACATCTCTGGGGAACAATGGTAGGCCTTATAACAATACTTCTGTTTTTATATGTGTTGAAGGACACTTGTATGGGTTTATAAGGCAGAAGACCAAATATGGGTGAAGGCATCTTGGATACAAAAAATGACTAATTGAAGCTGAAAAATGTCTTACTGTTGCCATAGTGTGTAGAAAGGTCCAGTAATTATGTTGTTACTGACTAGTAACTACCACTATACACCATCAGACCTTTATTATCATTGACCACTTAAAAGAAAGTTTATTAACTATTATTTTCTAGCTGGCCACATTGATTAAATGTTGTTGTCGAAGAAAAAAGTTTTTAATTGGAATGACTAAAATGATAGGACCAGTCATGTTACTAGCTTTACGAGATACAGTATCGGCAATGGAGGTAATGGAAAAATTTTTTTTTACAAAATGATTGTATAAATACATATACATACATATAAGCTATCCTTTAACAAGTTTAAACCAGTGATGATATATTAGGCCCACCCTCCAATAAGCTGCAACAAACAATTGTAACTGTATCAAAGTTGTGAAATTCATTAAAACGGTGCTATAAATATTTCTTACTGGTATAGTTATTATTGTATATCTCTTCAATATTGATTGATTGGGTACCTCATTGGTTCAAATTTCCATTTAACTGCGGTAATAGATATTTTACTTTTTTTTACTGACAAACAATATATTTACAGGTGTTATGTGCAATGTTAGAGTTTGAAATATTAGATAGTCAAGATATGAAGATGCAATTAATTACAACATTACAAAGTACATCTGAAGGTAAAAAGATGTATGCTGCATTATGTGATAGACAGATAGCTCTTAGAGAACTGGTAAGTGCATTCTGATCATTTATAGATAATTTTATGGTAGATGAATTGTATACTCCTTTATGCTTAGTTTTCTTGTAACTGGGTGAATTCTTTAAATCCTGTAAGAGACAATAAAGTTTCCCAATTCAATGCTTAGAGTGGCTTTGTTTTTTGGAGATTACTGTATAAAGTGTATTGTATTATGTTATATCCCCTTGATAAAATCACACAGCTGAAGCTTACATAGATCCATTAAAAGGTCCAGAAATTTTACTGTAAACACTGTACACCAAAATCATTATTTTGGAATTAACTGGAGTATGAAATTTGTTTTTAATAGATGTTTACTAGCATGTCACTAAATAACTTGGGATTCATATTATCTTACAGCAACAGAAAGGCGGACCTAAGAAATTAACACTACCTTCAAAATCTACTGATGGAGACCTGTCTAAGATGTTAAATTCAGGATCATTTGGTAATCTAGAGTGTTTAAGTTTAGCCTTTACTCAAGTAACAAGTTCATGTGCAAATGATTTAATCAAACTCCCATCATTAAGATATCTTAACTTATGGTCCACACAGGTAATTATTTTCTTTTAGATATTTATGTACCGACTTGAGACTCTAATTCTTACCTGACCACTTAGTGCTTGGTTTATAATATGAGTTAAAATTGAAAACAGAGATGGTTGATTTATTGAGACCAGGATTTAATTCTTGAATATTCAACATGAGAAATTTGATTCGTGTATAATGATATAAACTTTGTTTTCAGTTTGGTGATGCAGGATTACAGTTACTATCTGAACATCTACATAAATTACAAGTTTTAAATCTTTGTGAAACACCTGTCACTGATAAAGGTTTATCATCCTTAGCAGGTATTGGAATATATATTATATACCTACTTTTGAAAGGGATGTGGTATTCCAAACTTACATGAACACAGACTTCAAAAATTGTTGAGCATACCCTATGTGACACCTGCTACAGTAATCATTGTACTTTCTTATTATTTCATTTATTTTATCATAGTTTTTTTTAATATATCATTCTTTTTTCCCTGTAGCTTTGAAAAATTTGAGAAAATTAAATTTGAACAGTACCAACCTTTCAGCCTTGACTTTTGAAGGACTTAAGGTAATCCATGTCTTTGATTGTATGTTTTGGGTTTAATAATTGTAGATCCAATTCTTTATCCCAGAAAGTTTTGAGGCTGTAAGATGAAGTATATGAGTAAAATGGAATCACACTAAAAAATATCCTACTGTTATTTTGAAATATTTTCTTTACAATTAATTGTTCTTATTAAGGTAATATTCTTAGACACAATGGGATTTTTGGTTTTTATCCAACTGCCTTAAAAAGTTTCGTCTTGTTGTTTAATTTCAGGAAAAATTACCATCATTACAAGAATGTGATGTACGGTATACTGATGCTTGGTGATAATATGGAACCTATTATAATTATCAAAAAAAAGCCTTAAAATAAATTTGGATCTTCAGACAGATACCCAAATATAGGGTAGCTCATCCTTTTAATGTGCCTAAAATATTTCATTACTAAAGATTGACCTTGACAGGTTTCAACTTCCATATCTTAAATACCTATTATCATATATTGTTAGATAAACTTTACCGGTTCAATCTGAATAACATATTCTGGAAATTTATGTATATAAAAATATGTGCTAGAAAATCCTAACATCAGACCAAAATTAAAAAGATCATGTATTGGATAAACTTTAAGATAGTTCAATATCATTGTGTACTGGAAATGTCCTTAACTGGTTCAATATCACATTGTTTACTGGATAATCATTGATTTAGTGTGTACCTCACACCAAATTATCATGAATATCATATCTGTTAAATATGAATATTATGATGTACTGTCAATAGATTATTGTATGGAATAATTTGAAAGACAATGGTCAAGTTTCCATCATTTCCTAGATATAATCAAATGTAGACAACTAAATCTGCAACAACCACCTATATCTTATTTTGATACCAAACAATTTAACAGCTCTATTCAATTTGTATGTGTACATTGTGTAAAATATGATCTTTTATAAAGAAATATAATATCTACATGTGCTGTGTTCTATACATAAACAAATTCAAACAATGAGTCTTAATAAATTTTTAATTGAATCATAATGATCCAGTGCATTAAATGTGCTTATTGTGTTTTTACTGTGGTAAATCATTCTGTGACTGTATATTATTATACAATATCTAAATATTTTGTATAAATTGTGAGAGTTCAATATTGTGACTTATGTCGTTTATAAATCCCATCAACTGTTCAATTAATTGGTTACAATTCCAAAGATTTGGATTATGATGTTAAATTTTTAGTGAAACATAATGTACAATTTTAAGGATTTTTGACAACAATCAACATTGGATTGGATTAAATAAAGAAAGGTGACAAAAATTCATCCACAATTTATTACTCTATATCTTAAACATATACCATCCTTTATCCTTTGTAATTAAACAGCTAACATAACTTTATTCTAGCAAGTTACAAAAATCCAATACCCAGTTTGTAGATATTTATGAATTGAATGACAAAATGACAAAATTTCATTTCCACAAAGTTACTCATATCTCAGAGCCATCATTTATTTTAGTTTTTATATATGATAAATTGAAATCAGCTGAATTCTTGAGTCTGAAATGGAGAAATATATATCTTTAGTATGAATCATTTTAGTTTTCAAGTTCAAGATATCATGCCTAATGTGTCTCTTGTCCCTATGTTTTATCCAAATATTAAATCTTTAAATTTGTAAAGCTGGAGTTTGTGCAAAATCAAAGTAAATGTAATTTGACTATCATATACTGATAATACAGGCTCTTATTTGGAGAGGCTGTGTTTTTGATTCAAAAACCCTATTTTGTGGTTTTTCCCATTCGTGTCATTGGTGAATATACATGCTAACATGCCTGAATGGAACTATGTCAACAATCTTATGAAATTATCAAATTATATTCAGATTATTCAGACTATTGCTCGATTTGCAATGATTTATTAAATCTACAAACTGTGCAATAATTTAACTAGCTTCTATCCAAGAAATAAGAATGAATACTTTAAGTTCTTTCATGTTAACTTGGGCGTTCTTAGAAATATTTTGTTTCTTTTGTTGCTTGTTTGTTGTTATCTTCTGTTTTGTGACTTTATTTTCGTGTTAAATATTTGTGACATGTTATTTATTATGTGTTGATGAATATGGATACATATTTTATGTATTTTGAAGATCATACATTTTTGTTATAAAAAGATAATTTTATCTCTACTGTTTTCTATTTTTTAAAACATATTAAAGAAATAATTTGTCACATTAAGTTCTTAAGAATTAAGAGGAGTTATGTTGATGAGACAACAAAATAATCCTGCTAGCTGAAACATGGTATAAAATTCCATTTCATATCCACATGCTGAATAAAGTAGTCAAATAGTGCTGAATATTTATTTTTTACAGTTAAAGCTAATAATACACAAATAGTTGTTCTGAAGTTTCACTGCTGAAAATTTCCTAGAAAAAAATCAGATATAGGCCTGTAGTCATATACATATTTGCACTGGCAGCTGATGTAGCTCAAATACAACTTTCTGTACAGAATTAAATTCTGGTTCTGCTGCAATTCAACTAGATTGTCACTTACAGACAGGTTGATTTTCCTATTTTAAAGTAATCTGAATAATAATAAAATTATAATTAGTGCAACTACTATTGGCCAATTTCCATTTACATTCTGAATGTCAATCACTTCAATTTTAACCAACAGTTCTAATTCCATCTCATAATCCATTTAAATACCCTATTAAAAGTCCCTTAATATATCTAATGAATATTTAAATGGAAGCTACAGTTTTGTGAGAAACACAGTGCTGTTATGGTTTTGACAGTGTGTCTAAATGAACAAGCTCTTGTCTTAGTTTATCTTATTTATCAATCAATACAGTTTGTTTTACTGTATGTTAAGCCCGAGTCAGATAAATTCATTTACACAATTTTGACATGAAGTATCATATTTGATATTTGTCATTTGTTCCATGTAAATGTAGAAAAAAAATTGTCATTAAATATTCCATCATCATTATTGTTACCATCATTATTTATTGTACTAAGCTTTAATGCGCAGGCGCATTTAAAATATAGCATTTTAATGAGGTCCTGTTATTACAAAATGTTATTATGGTATGTTGCCGTTTTGTTCAGAACCTATAATTTGTTTAAAATCACCTTTGAATATTTACAATTGGTTGGCTTACAAACTGGAACTAATTGTTTTGCACCAAGATAATTCGTCAAAATGCAGACTATGTTGCCATTCTGAATAATTTACACAATTAATTTGAAAGTTTCTGTCTTGTTTTGATTAAAGAATAACTATAATGTGTTTTATAAAATTGAATATTAATATTATTTTAAGATGGTGTATATTGTAAAAGTCTGCTGGTTTTATTATTGTTTCTTCTATTTGATTACAGTGTTTTGATGTTCTAATCATTGTACAACACATTGACCAATAAATATTCTAATTTTAATAATTTGCTATTTCATTGCATTAAAATAAGTATTATTGATGTTTCAGGTCAATCGCGAGGGAACATCTAAATACAGACCTTAATGGTTTAAGAATGCTTTTTGATTCTTATTTACAAAGTGAAATATCAACTCTAAAAGATGATGAATAGTCTACAAATGAAAAAATTCTGATGGATTTTCATTTCATAGAAGGGAATGACTGGTCCAAATGGGGTTAATTTGGATGTGCAATTTCCAGGAGGAGCGAAATTCTGAGCAAAAGCAAGATCTGCTAAAAAACATTCTTGTCCAAAAGAACATGATGCTAAGCCAAATATTTAGATAAAATATACTTTGTCTTGAAAATCATGTACCCCCCTCAAGGAAATAATAAAAAAAAAACATGAGTTTATCAACAAAGTTTTACTACAAAAATAACAAATTGAAACTATGTACCAGACATACAATGAGCAAAAAAGAGTTAATTACTCTAAAACCATAACAATTTATCATTAGTTTACTGGAAAAAATGATGGCTTCGGTTATGGCTTTAACATAACTATACAATTCTGTATTTACAGCAGCACTGATGGTGCATAAAATATTTATGCACATTCAAAGATGTTTAAAATTATACAAATTATAGGAGTAAATTAAGCACCAAATAATAATTAACAAAAAATATAACTAACATTTTACTCGTACTGTGAAATCTATTATTTAATAACCTTTAAGAAATATGAAATATATGAAATCCTTAAAGTGAATATCCACTAAATGTATCACAAAATCTAGGAAATATGAATAACCAGCTCTCTTAGAACATTCCAGATCTTACTGCATGAATAACTTTGATAATATACCTAATAATAAATACAACTGAATAGTCTTCAAGAAGATATGATATGACAGCAAGTAATACAGTAAAATATATTTATGATGCACAGATTGTAATGTCCATTTTTGCTCTGAATCCAATGTACATGTATGATAAAATTGGTTGAGTATCTTACATGGGAGATAACTGTTTAAATTAGATCCCTGTTTACAATAATAATGATTTCACAGTATTTACAATTTTAACTTTGGTATTGTATATATACAATGGCAATATTCTACCTATCACAAATTACAATAGAAACACATAGCTTGATATTTTATTTAGAACAATCTTCAACCAACATCAATTCTCCACCCCAGTCCCCCTACCTAAAGTTAATTTTAACTGTCTTCGTTTCAGGCGGATTCAAAATATATTCAGGACAATTTGACCCCTTGGAAGTTGATTTTAGATAAATGCATGGATTCTTGAAGGCAGGAGCAGCAATTATATCCAAATGAGTTATATGTTAGACACATCAACATATACATTCTTCATGCATTATCATTTTGAAACATCACTTTTACTTTCAGAATATATGTTTTAACCTGAGAATAAGATCTGCAAGTTTTCAGATTCTAAATGATGTAGATTATAACACTGATTTATAGATACAACCTAACATTACCCAGGTAGCACAAGCTGATTCAGGATAGGAATAAATACGTACACGTACACCAAGTCTAACTTGATCACCACGACAATTTATTATCTCATTACAGAATGTTGTACTGAAAAATATGTAAAGATTATGTAACTATACTCATCCATGATCTTTTTGACACAATATGATTGGACTGACAATACAACTGTAAAATGGCATTGCTCAGAATTTGAAAGAGCATTTGATTAATTGAACATTTAACAAATTCATCATTTTAGTAATAATAAAATCTATAATTTCACTTTGCATTTAGCCATAAATTAGCACTATTAATGAACTCAAAAGAAACTTACTTGAGACAATGTGTAAATATTTTTCTAGGATTTCGATGTGTAAATTGTATTGGATATGATTTTAATGTATGATCTTCAGACATGGATGACTGAATAGCATCTTGGAATTCTTCATTATTACATGTGATACCTGTAATATAAGTAAACAAATTATAAATTTACATAATATTCTTCTTTCAAGAAGTACGTCATGTTCTACAAACATTCTATCATTATCAATTTCAATGTAAGTATTATTCAACTTGTAAAGAAATTAACTTTCTACAGAGAAAATCAAATTGTTAAAGTAATTATCGCCAAGGTGTTTTGAAGAAATTGGTGTAATGCACAAACTTTTATGGAAATTGCTTGAATGTGGATAGTAATAGTACAGTAGGTTTCCCCAAAGAAGAATTTCTCTTTAATGAAAGCTTTGCCTTTGAAACACTGAAGAATATATACATGTATATATATGATAATAATTGTAGTATTACCTGTGACCCGTTCTGTTTCATAAGAAGCTAAAGCTGGTGTTAGTAAATAACTAAATTCATCATTCCATACACTAGTTAACCCTTGGTCCTATAAATCAAGTAGTTAGATATACATAGTTCATCCTGCATGGTATCAAACAAACCTATATTCCTGCATATAAGGATTCAACACCGAATTTCATCAAAATCAAAAAACTGGAATTGTTTCAATTAGATGTTTCTTCAGATATTCTATAAAATAATTAAAATTGTTTTGTTTGAATTTTCTTTATGAATCCCCCACTTTGACCCATATTTCATGAGGGACCAACTCGAAAAAGGCTGCAAACTGTGTCACCTTTTTTGATGTAAAATGTTTGATCTATAAATAAGTCAAGAAAAACAGTGTAATTATCATTTCTTAGTGATTATCTTAATATCAATTCATTATAACTTGTGACAATTCCTTGAAAGAACCATGATTTAAAAAAAAGATAGCTTGTCAGGCAAGGTAACATATGCCCACTTGCAGCTGTCAGAAATGATAAAACATTTTTAGTGATTAAAGTATGAATTTTCTTATATTAAAGAAATTTTATTAGTTTAAATTCAATAATATATATATTTACTTCCAGTTATTTATGCTGAGTAATTCCACAAAATTTTTGGTAATCATTATCAATAACCCAAATTCACCAAATTATTAAATCACATCTCTAATATCAAGGGCAAAAAATTGTTAAGAGTGAAAATCAAAATCTCCATTCATTTCATTTCCTTCATCATAAAAATCACATGAAATCTGTAGTCTCTATTGTGGACAATAACCCAAAGGCAGTTCATTGAAAAATCGTCAAATTCAAACTTGACCAAGATCTCATCAATAAACATTATCACATCGAGTTTCATTAAAATCAGATAAAACTGTAGTCTCTATTGTGTTCACAAGAAATACTGACAGACAGATCGACGGCATTTCCATGTGGGCATATAAAAATAGTGACTGTCAAAAAAAGATAAGCAAAACGTAAGTGTAATTTATTGCTACATCAACATATGAATATGGCCTACATTGTGTTCCATAGAATTTTTCTGCTGACATGGAATCCGCTAGTTTATGACTTGACTTTGTTCACTGGAATATATTCTAGCAGACAACACTTGGAATTCCTAGTAAAGCTGGGGATTATAAGGAAATTTCGCCTATGAAAAGTTGTGGAAATTGGTAATGAGTGAAATCCGCCATTTTGTATATGTTAAAATAATATATAATAAATTTGACATTGCTTTGAAATGATAGGAAAAATTCTGCAGGTTGACATTGTAGAGATAAACCTTGTTTATCAAAACATGCAAATGTGGAGGTCACGCAAATTATTTATCATTTTCAAAGAAATTGGGTTAGCACGAAATGAGGTAACTGTATCAATAAATTCCTTATAACTGTAGTGTATATTATTTTATAACAAACATTCAACATATTCCAGAAAACTTTGGTTCCAATAGCTTTCAATCTATCATTTCAAAAGGTTAAAGATATTTTTGGTTTGGCTTGTACACACTATCTTACCTGTCTATGTTCTGTAACTAAAGCTTTAATTTGATCTTCTAAATCATTGGAAGCAAAATGAACATCTAGGTTACTTGGAGATAATGGTGGCCAGGTGTGTTGAACTAATGGACCACAGACAGAAGCTATAGCATCTTCTGACATACTCTTCCATAGTGATTCATTTTCTAATATAAATCTACACACTTCAACATTATTACAAGACTGAAAAATAATCCCCAATAATTTTACAACCTAGAGTTTTAGTTCTTTAAACAATTGCACCACACTAATATTTTACATAGACTAATAAGCATATTAAGTTTTCTCAAAATCTTATCAAAAGTGTTGTCTTTACTGCTTCTACATGCCCAGTTTTTATGCTAAATCAAAGGTATTAGAGCAAAAAAAATATTAATCTAAAATACATAAGATTCATCTACAATCTCAATAAACATACTGAGTTTTGTCAAAATCTAATCAAGTCTGTGGAAAAGTTAAGACAACTGAACAAAAGTAGGCTGTATGTTCACATACCACATATTGTGGGTATATTTAAACTCTATTGGAAACTTAACAGAATTTTAAATTAATATAATATACCTGATTATTAGCATACAATTTTCGGTGATTAAAAACACAATCAACTGTTTTGTAAGGATATTTGGATGGATTTTGTTTGGACATTGGTGGACCATTAGGATCTATTGGTTCATGAATATACCTGCAAAATATTGCACAAATATATATCAAATGTATAGCATAAATACATAGCTATAATAGCTTTTATAGTTGTTCTTAAAGAAGGAGAACCCATTGAAACACATGAATATTTGCGATGATTCTCTATTATACTATTAATATAATTCAGTCGTAAGTAAAATTATCCAATAAAATGAATACCTATTGCCTTTGATACTCTCCCAGAATGTAACTAAACCATTTACACTTCTAGTCATTACCCAGGCATGTGTAGCTCCTTTAGTACTAGTTCCAATACAAACATACGTATCTAAACCAAATCCTAATAATAAACTACATAGTAATGTAGCATGATCTTCAATACCCTACAAATAAAATTTTAAACAAACAAACTAAATTGCTTTATATTGAATTCAAAATGTTTTGTGACAACATCATAGCCTTGTATAGCCAACAAGTCAAAAAAACACTGAAGCGCCCCATTTCAAAAGCATCAACAGCACTTATGGTAAAAATATATGTGAAATAAAATGTCAAAAACAAATGACGCCCATCATTAAACACAGTTAAATACATACCCCTCTATTCATACATAGAAATGAATGAATACATGTCCATTGTTCACGTTTATCTTGTCCTAGAGATTTAGGGTAATCTTTATGTATTAATGACACAAAACGTGCTGCTTGTCTTGGTGTTTCTATTAATCTGCCAGTACGAAATGGTTTAACATAGGAATTTACTGGTTTATTGTTACCATTCTCATCCTAAAATTTATCACATAGATATATTTTACTTTAACTACAGTACTTAACAGTTTAGTTAACATCAACTACTCACAAAATAAGTAGTATCCATATATTTATTTACAAGTCTATTTAATAAAACAAATAATATAAAATATGTCGCTTATGTTGCAGTTACAAGTTTCTTCACTCTTCTAGAATATTCAGAAATCATTATCAAGGATATAAGAGATAAATTTATACTCCAAATCTGAATGAATAACAGGAACAATATGTTCATACTCACAGTAGCAAATATTTTAACAATTCTGTTTTTATGAGCATCTCGAATCTGAAGATATTCTTCCCACCATAATGAACTATATGTTAAAAAGCCACGCTTTCTGTCTGATTGTCTATGACGTTCCAGTTCTAATTGTGCTCTCAATACTTCTTCTCGTAGAGGTTCAGGTGGTTTGGGAAATAATTCCATTTGTAACACTAAAACACCGACTGGCACTTGATTTTCTATACCTACATAAAAAAAACTTTATTTTCAACAAGTCTGCAAGGCATTCATATTTATTATCATAATCAATGTAAAACAAAAGATCAATAAATCTAATAAAAGGGACAGATGCATCACACTTTATTCAGAAACAGGAGATTTTTAGCTAAGCCAATCAGTAACAGTGTTCACAGCTCACAGTTGAAATTTGAGCCTTCCAATCGATGTGTGTCCAGAATTATCCACGATTGAATGTTTAAACGAGGACTTGAAAGATAAGATACTCTGTGATATATATAGAAAAGACAAATATAGAAACAGTAAGTAAAATTCCTAGGTTTAAGTATTTTTTTAAAAAGTTAAGCGATTTTCGTACATTTCTAGTACTTCTGAAGACTATTTTAATATATTCAAGACTCAATCAATGCCCCAAAATGGCGCACCTGTCGCTTTAAATATATATTATTTTAGATACTATTCTCCCAAAGTACAAAATCAGTAACGCAGGGGATCTCACCTCATCTCTCATTAAGGACATTATATTAGTGATATTATTAGGTATACACAGATAGAAGATAAAATGCTATTTTTTATTTATTACCCCCGTAATATTCCAATCCCTTTGATCTCAGTAGGTATTGTATCATTGCAAGATACCAGGCCATTGATACACATATCTAAAGTAAAAAATAAAATATAAATTTACCTGTTCCTTTCAATTCAATAGAAACCTTCATTTTACTCTGAGCAGACGTTAAAACCGGTCTCCATTCAAAATAATGAGAAGCTACAAGTGAAGTTTTACCAGTAGAATCTGTTTTTATTAATACAATATGTATAGGATCATACATTGATAACATAGCTGTATTATCAGCCATTCTTCCTGCCTCACCTACAATTTCAAACAATGTCATATTATAACAACAAATTAATAGAAGTTTTTCAATTTAACAATATTGCTGACGTTAGGTCATGTTAAATATTTGATTATTCCTGCAGTTTCTTAAGAGTCCTCAAATCCACATACACTCTTCAGTAATTCATGGCACCATTCCTGATATCGACATCTGTCCAGGATAAGTGCATTATCAAAATGTTAATGTATTGCATGATGTCTGTCAACTTGGCAATACAGCAATCATGTTTTAAAGTCAGGTTTATGACCCAAGAATTGTGAAAGCTGATCTGATTTCAATTAGCATAGAGTTTCTGACTCTCCAGGATAAATCTATAAACAGACAACTACATCTTGCAATAAAACCCCCCCAAACAAGAGCAAAAACAAATACCTGTTTGAATTGTAATATACCTGCAGATTCCTTGTGAAGTTCTAGTAAAAATCCTTCATCAAATGCTGGTTCACAGGCACAAGGTATAGGTTTAGTTTTAAATCTTTGTGTACGGAAATGAACATGTAACGTGAAATATGATGAGACTTGTTGACCAGGTAAAACTTCATTGGTATGTAAATGTTCAAGAAAGGCTTTTCCTTCTTGAATGGTTAGATATAGATGTCTTCTTGTTGGATCTATATTTACTACAAGAAAGACATCAACGATTTAGTTTTCATTTTAAATACATATCTTATAATCCTTGAATAACATTTAGAAGTAGATAGAACATTATATAAATAAAACACTATTATGGATATACTACTCCTCTTTAATTTAAGCAACGTTTCATTTCACATACAGGAATCTTTTTCAAACAATAGAACAGGAGTAGCTAATAGTAAAATTTTAAAAACAAGGATATAAGTCGCTTCAGTTGAGCTGTTCTAACTAGAAAACCAGCCTGTCTCAACTGCTTATATTAAAGGTACAGATGGGTCTTGATATGCAAATAGTCTTAAGAAGTACTAGAAGTGTACAAAGATCGCATAATTCCTTCAAAAATATTTCAAATTAAGAATTTCTAAAGATGTCTTCTTTATATATTGCTTTCTCTCAAGAAAAGAGGACTTTTCTTTTTGACTTTGAAATTCAACGGTGAGCTGTGAACACTATTATTACTGATTAGCTTAGCTAAAAAATTCCTGTTTATGAGACTAAGGTACGAGTGGTAAAATAAATGGTGCACCTATCCCTTAATATTAGACGGCTGTATCCTCTAATAAACAAATTCATGATATACCAGGCATCTATTGATCAGCTTATGCAAAAACTATAAGTTACAGTGTAATATACCTTTCTTCACTTGATTTGATGATTTTTCCCTGCTTAGAAAATGACCACTTGGTTTAGGTAAATTTGTTTCACCATCTACTTGAATATCTTTCATCATATTAGCAACAACACCTCTTTCTTTTAGTTTTCTAATCAACTCATTCTCACTAATATGTCCTTCTCTACCCTCAAATTCTGTTTTCACAACTTCATCAAGAACATTACGGAAGTGTCTTTGGATATCACTCTTGGAAAAGAAAATTTCACATTTTACTTAAGTGTTTATATGAATAATGCAATAACCTTAAGTATTCCAATAAAATATTATTATAGTCCAGTTGTCTAACCTATTTTCGTGGATATAAGGATTCAACACCGAATTTCGTCAAAATTAAAAAAAAGAATTTTTTTTTTATGTCTTAGATGTTTCCTCAGATATTCTACAAAATAATTAATATTAGTTTATTTCGATTTTCTTTATGAATCCTTCCCTTTGACCCATATTTCATGAGCAACCAACTCAGTAACGGCGGCAGAATGCGTCACCTATTTTCGTGTACAATGTTTGATCTATAAATAAGTAGAGAAAAACACGTTGTATGGATACCGGGTGGTAAAATTAACTTCTCTTAGTATATTTTATCTTTAATATCAATTCATTATAACTAGTGACAATGCCTTCAAAGAACCATGATTTTAAAAAAAAAAATAGTGACTGACAAAATAAGATACGTAGCGTGATTTATTGCAAAAAGTCACTGAAATAACAAAAGAATATGGTCCACTTTGTGTTCCATAGAAATTTTCTGCTGACACGGAATCCGCTAGTTGATCACGTGACTTCATTCGTTGGACTACATTCTAGCAGACGAAACTTGGAATTCCGATTACCGCTTGGGATTAGAAGTAAATTCAGCCGATAAAAAATTGTGATGTTTGGTAATAACTGAAATCCGCCATTTTGTATTTGTCAAAGTATACATTATTACACTTTACCTTACTTGAAACTACTGAGTTCATTCTACTTGCTGATATTGTAGAGAAAGCCCATGTTTATCAAAACAAACTAATGCGGAGGTCACGCGAGGTCGCACATGTCAATTATTAATCATTTCCGGAAATGCACGAAAAATAGGTTACCAAAAAATTGGGTTACTTGACTGTAATAATTATAGTATCTAAGAAAATCTAACCCGGTGACAATACAAGCTTTATATAAATTCTAAACTCTAGACGTTCATGTGATTTTCACTCACTGTCTTTCACTTATTTGTCTTCAATAAAAACAGATTTCAAACAGATTCTGTGTACTCAAACTTAAAGGATTTATGCCAAGTTGCTCTTTTATGTTGGAAATATTTCAGATACACTGTCATTATCACATCGATTTTATCACTTTTTTTCATTTAAAAAGGCTAATTTAGCGCTTCTCAAATTATGCATATTTTCCGCCACTAATCGGGAATCTACTAATCTTCGGTTGATGACATCATACTAGACATATGTTCTGATGCCACCATTGAATCATAAGCAAAACGTTCACACAACTTCATTTTCATATCGGACTAAATGGTGTACTGTGTGGCATTGACCAGTACTTACTCGTGAATTGACTCATTGTCATCTGTGGGTCCGTCAACTTCAACAAACTCCATTAGCAATACATCTAGAACATCTCTATTGAGACAATTCGCCCTGAACCCCGAATGTTGACAAATGCACGACTGCATCTCCTCCAGAGCTTTATGTTCTGTGTCATTAACCTCTTTATAGCAAAGGCTCTCAAGTGTTGTTGGCATTTCTCTACACAATCCACAAAGGCAGCTATTTAATAAGTAATATCTGCATTTCAACACGATGGCCCCATTCAATCAATGTTTACGGAAATACAGACTGAGTCTAGTCTCTGACGTCCAGACTAACCCCATCTACATCAAAGGTGTACATAGACAAATAGAGACTGGATGGTAGAGGCTATGTATTCACCTAGGTGACCTTTTGACCCGCACCACCATATTAAGACTGACATTATGTGATGATAATAATAGGCCTACTACGGTCAGTAGATATACAGTCGAGTAACCTAATTTCGTGGAAACCTATTATTCATGGATTTCCGGAAAGGATTAATATTTGACATGAGCGACCTTGCGCGACCTCTGCATTAGTTTGTTTTGATAAACATGGGTTTTCTCTACAATATCAGATAGTAGAATGAATCCAGTAGTTTCAAGCAAGGTAAAATGTAATAATGTATACTTTGACAAATACAAAATGGCGGATTTCAGTTATTACCAAACGTCACAATTTTTTATCGGTTGAATTTACTTATAATCCCAAGCGGTAATCGGATTTCCAAGCATCCTCTGCTAGAATGTAGTCCAACGAATGAAGTCATGTGATCAACTAGCGGATTCCGTGTCAGCAGAAAATTTCTATGGAACACAAAGTGGACCGTATTCTTTTGTTATTTCAGTGACTTTTTGCAATAAATCACGCTACGTATCTTATTTTGTCAGTCACTATTTTTTTTTTTAAAATCGTGGTTCTTTGAAGGCATTGTCACTAGTTATAATGAATTGATATTAAAGATAAAATATACTAAGAGAAGTTAATTTTACCACCCGGTATCCATACAACGTGTTTTTCTCTACTTATTTATAGATCAAACATTGTACACGAAAATAGGTGACACATTCTGCTGCCGTTGCCGAGTTGGTTGCTCATGAAATATGGGTCAAAGTGAAGGATTTATAAAGAAAATTGAAATAAACCAATTTTAATTATTTTGTAGAATATCTGAGGAAACATCTAAGACATAAAAAAAATATTGTTTTTTTAACTTTGACGAAATTCGGTGTTATATCCACAAAATAGGTTACACCACTGTATCCAATATGCTTATTTCTTTTTCATTTTCTTTTGAAATGGATATCAATGAGCTTCTGCAATGTTAATTATCATTGTTTTCAACCTGATAGTTTATGGTGACGACTGTTTAAACTCTATCCACTTGCCATCTGTACTACCGATTCGGGCATTTGTAGAAAAAGAATCGGTTTCGTCGTCTGAGAAATCGGAATTGTCAGAGCTTTCAGAGCTATCAGAATATTTTAGTACTGATTGCTGCCAGTCTATTGAGTGTCGTCTATGACGTCATAGATCAGCAGACTGCTAGCCTAATTAACTTTCTGCTGGAAAGCGACCAGAGTCAGAAATCTAAGGTTTTTGTCAAAAATATTGTTCTGGGAGACATTTTTAAGCCCTTGTCAATGATTACAGGTAAAAATCATTGTAATTAAGGGGAAATTTTACGTCTTGGCATAAATCCTTTAAATCCCCAAAATTGTGTAATAGTGTAATCTTACTGTTACAACGCATTGCAAAAATACATTCATTTCAATTGTAAAGGAAGTCACTGTTTTTGGTTTCAGTTTCATCAGTTCATCTTGAACATGAATCATAATGAGCTAGATCTGAACTTTTAAAGATAATCCTCATTCATATTTATTTATTGCCGTTTTGATTTAATAAATAAAAATATCCTCCCATGTTTGCTTACCTGTGACAGGTGATTATTAATAAGTTGCTTAATTTCTTGCACCTTTTGGTTAGGAAGCGCCATTGACATACAATTTTGAAGGAGGGCTTCTTTTTATTCTACAAATCAACACTATATCCAAATTTAGAGCATGATCTGTCAAGTTCGATGTCCGCGGTAACGAAAGTGCGCATGGGTGAAAAATAAAAGCTGCCAGATTTCCTTTTTTTTTTATTGATCTAAGCGATAGGATAAGGAAACCCCTCAAATCCAAACAGTATGTGATTGAAATCATTCATGATAATTTTTCAAAATAATAAACAAAATTGTAATAAATCCAACTTTAGTAGTATCATGTATGGAATGAATAACAGAAACATTAAAGATAAAGTATTCGTACTCTGGCAGCTCAGCTTGTCGTTTACATCATTAACAACCAAAATGGCAGGTAATCAGTCTGAAAATGTGAAACGCAGAACGTATTCTTCAAATTATAAAGATCCAACAGCGAGTGGGAACATGAAAAATCGTGGGAAGAAGCCAATAGCAGAACCTATTCATATCGGTCACTTTATAATGATTGTTATCATGAAACTATGTCGAACAGTACTTTTGATCGATACATCAGTCAAAATAGGACTTTACCTTATGGTTGTCCTAATTGGATCTGTTATCTGTGACCTACATGCTATGCCAAGAGGATTCTTTTCTGATAAGAAAAACTTCTTAAATGTTTATTTCATAAAACTTGGATGGGGATGGACATTGTCACTAATTGGGCCCTTCATATTTATGACTAGTTTTGTCTATTGTTGTGGAAACTTGAATCAAGTCCGAAGACATGTGATGAGACTGGCTGTTGGAACCGTTTGGTGGTATGTTTGTACCAGTTTCTTCGTGTATGTGAATAAAAATGTTGGAGTCTGTACATTATCAAATCTAAAAGATAGTAAATCATGTTTAGAAGCAGGTAAATCATGGCTAGGCTTTGACATTTCCGGTCATGTGTTTTTAATGATACATTCTTTGTTGATCATATCAGAAGAAATGAAATGTTTTAAAGATTGGACGAAGCTGAAATTGTCACTGGATGATGAAAATTTAACACAAAGAAAAAACTTGTCAGCAAGTGAAATTTCTCAAGCTAAAACTTCACATAAACAGTTAACACCATTAATTCAGATTAATGTAGTTTTCATTACATTGTTAAGTTTATTATTCGAATTTATGCTTTTAATAACTATTATTTATAGATTTCATACACTTTCACAGAAAGTTTTTGCAGCGTTTATTGCAGTTGGTTTTTGGTTTGTTGATTATAGAATGTTATTTAGAACTAAAATAGATATAATGCCTTGCTTACCAGGAGAATGTACTTTAAACTATTATAAATATGATATTTAATTTATTTTCAATTGATATTTTACATTGTATTTTAAATATACTGTTAAAAATGGTATTGCCTGTGTGAAAGGACTGTGGAAGAGTTCAGATGCCTAGTAGAATAATAATTCACACTATCACTATCTATCAATCAATATTTACTGCCATAAATAATTATTCAATATATTTAATTACTCTCCAATGGAATGTGCCATATTTCAAGTTTTTTTGTAAATTTTTAATATTTCCTTGTTTTTACTTACTACGCTTCATCATCATGGGTACAGTTTCAAGAATTCAATGTGTTGAGCATTTCCATTTCAGTGGTGCTTACATTAACATTATCTAAATGCACCCTGAAATGTCTTCCATGGTGAAATTAGATCTTGAAGTGCTACCTCACAATATTATATTTATAATCTTTTTTCATATTCATTTAAGAATTATATCATACTTAATTTAATTACAAAAGATTTATGATGTAATTTTACTCAAATTTTGGCATTTTGGGGCTCACCATGGAACCTAGAACTATTTTATCATTAATTATGTGTGTAGTTAGTGTTATATAATCATTATTCTACTATTAGTCAATTATATTTGATATTATATCATCTGGTTACCATCTGTTTGGTACTGCTAGTTTTAACTTGCTGTAGGAGGAGATCTAAAGATAGCAGATTACATGCATCAGATATTAAACTAACATAATTATAAATTGCTTTTCAAAATCATAGATTAAGTCGAACCAAGATATTTCTGAATCTGCCCATCCAGGTCAAAACATAAACGCAATCCGCTCAGACGCAGATGAGCAAAAACATCTTATATATACACTATATATGCTAGTCAGTGATACATTTAGTCTCCTGTATGCACAGGTATGTCTTTGATTATGGAAATGATAAGATTTTTTGAATGTTATTTTATTCAAAATACAATGAAACTGATCATAATTTTGGCAGTATTATATAATACTTTTTCAGCAGTACCAGTATTGCTATATGAATTTGATTGCATTCCTTCTGCAATTTTAGCTTACATTTTAAATGTTATCACAATATTTTTATGGAGTGAAGATGAAATAAACCTAAGATACCATTTATTACTAGTTTCTCATTAATAATATACCTAATCCTATTTTCACATTGTGTGAATATGAAAGCCTCTAAGAAATAACCCACTATATTGTTGCTTCAGGATGTTCACATTCAAGATTCCTGCACTGTTGAAAATTGAAATTTGTCTCTGTTATAGCAAAACATATCCAGCAGTACACAATGCATACTGTTACCCATCTCCAACAAGGTGCAGAAAAGGACACAACTGCATTTAATTTGATCTCAGTTTATAAATTTAGTTCTTTTTGAGTCCTGCTCATACTTATATCAATTTGAAATCATGTTTTAACAACTTGGCATACTATTCAGAGAGCCAACATAGCTAATAATGTAAATTTGGTTTATTAAGGAATATTATTTCTGATTTTTAAGATTATATCACAGCAAAGCATGTGATTTAACTGACAGGTAAAAGGGAACTGCACAGAACTGCATTTATAATCAGTTGATTGATTTCTTCATGAAAATATATTGTCATAGCTCTATAATCATAGGAATTAATTTTGGTTAGTTGATATTAGTTTAAACTTTCCCTTCTATATCATAAACATAAAACTTGTTATATATGACTATTTTTATAGTGTAAAATACAATAGATAATAAATATAAGCTCTGAATACATTTATAAATGCATATCATTACAAGTACATAATTTAGTATTTATTAATTAATTATTTCTTAAATCTTAGTTGAAAAATACCTTGGGTGAAAGGGACAAAATCTGTGTTGTAAAATTACAACTCTTTATGCAATGGGAATAAATTGGGTGGAATGGGAATTTGATCATAAACTAACTATATTCAGAAATGTGATAGTTAGCGACCTACATGGTAAAGTTTTTAGATTCAAAAGGAATATATACTAATGCTATTTCATAGAGGATAAGATATTACATGCATCTATTCCTATTCATATATATATATGTCATATAAATGAAACCCCAAAGGTAAAAAAATTGTCTAGTAGTATGAATATCTTGTAACAGGTAGACAAGGTCAAAATGCTGAGAATAAAATTCAAAGAACTGGAAGCTTTGAGTACTATTTGATATTTAAATCATGTGACATGAAAACATATTAAGTTTCCCCTTCAGATCTTTAATAGACTAATCAGAGAATGTTAAGTATATTTTTTGGCGATTAAAAGAGCAGCAACACCAGCTGCTAATCCAACAGTAGCTAATCCTCCAATGACAGGTAAAACTATTTTAGCTTTCTGTTTTAACATATACTGTGCTGTGGCTTTAGCAGCTCCTAACACTGTCTTCTTTATACTGGATCTTTCTGATATACGAGTCCAATATTGGTAAACTTCTGGTCTTTTGTCTCTGGAAAATAATTTGGAATCTAATCCAAGATAAACTGCTCTTCCTATCAATGTGGCTAGAGAAATATCAGCAGCTGTCAATGTTGGTCCAACAATCCAAGTTTCTTCTACACCATCTGAAATAGACAATCACTATCCATGACCTGCCTTTTAAAATAGAAAACCTTTCCTTTTAACACATATTCTATTAAGTATACAATGTACATGCATTAATTGAACTTCAGTTAGTGTAGACTAGTTAGATATGCTATCATGAAAAACAATAAAATATATTTGCAAAAAGAAAACCCACGAAAACTGCCCAAAATTCAACAAAGCCTTCAATTTTGGACTTTATGTTTATATGCCAATTTTGATTAAAGGAAATTAGTTTAAATTAAAGGAGCTACAGCACTTCCAATATTTGTCAATGTTTGTTGTAAGTAAATGATTTCGAAGAAATAAAACCTTTAAATAATGATGATAAATAATATGATAATGATGATGTTTGCTGTAAATCATTTTCAATATATCAAAGCTTTATTCTATTTCACACATCATATCAATATACATATTGCCATCATATCAATATGGGAGCCGCGGTGGCTCAGTGAGTTAGACGCTTGCTCGCTAACCTGAAGGTCCAGGGTTCAATTCCGGCATAGGTCGAGATAATACCTTCGGATTTTTCAACCCGGTTTCCCCCTGTCAGTGATGCAGGTAAGATGGGCTGACATGGAAAAAGCGTCTAGTCTTTCGGATGGGACAATAAACCGAGGCCCTGTGTGCTACAGGCTGTGCACGTTTAATATCCCTCGACAGTTGGAAATCGAAAAAGAGCAGGCTAATGCTGCTGTCCTGGCAAAATTTCCCTCATGGCACCCTGCATGGCGTTGCCCGTCTTCATTAGCCCACATGGTGCAGAAGAGTAGGACGTAAAACTTCAGTCATTTCATTTCATTTTATCATATCAATATACATATTGCCATCATAATATTGCCATCATATCAATATATATATATTGCCATCATATCAATATACATATTGCCATCATATCAATATACATATTGCCATCATATCAATATACATATTGCCATCATATCAATAAATATATTGCCATCATATCAATATACATATTGCCATCATATCTGAGATTATTATTTTTGTATATTTCTCTTTAAAATATTCCTATATCAATAATATCAAAAATTGAAGTTTGTTCTAAATCATTAAAAATTGAACAAAAAATATAAGACTAAACCATATCTTAAATTTGTGCCTTTTGTAACTAAACCATTGTTGATTATCAAATACCTTTTTTGTTTTGTATCAATAATGTTTCCATTTGTTCAAATACTTTATCGAGATCATCAATAGCCTTCTGAACTCGAACCTTATCACTACACAAGCTGATTTTCTTGGTAAAATATTGGTTTTTAGTTAAATAGGCATCACGAAGATCAGGATGTTTGTCAGCTAATTCTGCACAAGTTGTTGCAAACGTGCTCCAAGCATCTTCTATTTCTATAAATTAAAATAACACATTAGCTTTTTGGACCATCAATTTTATAGCAGGCTAGTGTATGAAAGGCTATGACATAAAATTAAAAAGATCTAATGCGTTTTTAATTCAAATTCTGAATTTAGAATTGAAGTTTTGAGTGTTTAAAAACATATTAACTCTTTTTTAATTACAATAACGAACAAACCTTTTCTTGTTTTGAGGAAGGCTTTAGGTAATTTTAGACCAGAATGTGAAAGTTCAGGGTAAAATAAACAACCATATGTGATATATTCCATACATATTCTTCCTAAAATACCTCTTACTCTCTCAACTTCTTTACCAATTTCACTACTTTTATCAGGCACTAGTTTAGGTTCTAAAAAAGAAACATTTCCTCATAATACAACAAATTCTAAGCAGTGTATGTTGTACAGTGTACAAAACATCTAGATCCTTATTTCAATCAATCAGACTGAATTATGGTATGGATCTCTGACTCATCATATGAATATGTATATATATAAAACCATGCCACTTACAATTGGTAGAGAGTATACCTATTGTTGGCATCTCTGAATGTGAAAATGACTATTCACTATCAACTTACCTGTTGGTACTTCTTTATCAATATAGTCTACTATATCTTTGGATTCTACCACTACCTTATCACCATCAGTTAGTACAGGTATCTCACATTTATAATATAACCTAACAAACTTAACTTTCAACTGTTCACCGGATAAAAAATTTATTATCTTTTCCTTATATAGGGCTTGTTTTTCTTCTAAAGCTATCAATACCTAGAAATAATAGAGATATTGTTTATAAATATGTTTTTAAATGTTGTTAAAATAAAGAGTAGGAATCAAAGGTGTTAGACCATTTTCCAATAACATATTTTTCTTGTCATATTGATTGTTGTCTGAGCAAAGTATAAGGTCTTTTGAATTTTTTCTATTATTTTTATGAGAATTGGAATATCAGCCTCAAATATCAGTCAAAATTTGTGACATTTTTATGGTTGAATACTATTTTGAGGCTACTATTCAACTTAAAAATTTTAAAAAATTATTTTTTTGCTTAGACAATAAGTTGATTGATGTAATTTATAGATGATATTCTTTTCACCCAAAAATATACAACAAAAAAAAGAGCTATAAGCAAGGAGCAATACTACTAAATGATTGAAACTGCAGTAAGTTTTCAACTTTGATAAGGCTGGCAAAGGCCACCGAATCAATAACCCTCTTACAGACATTAATTCTATAGTTCTGACCTTTGTCTTGAATAACTAACAAGACTTGTTCTGCATAGAATAAAATTCAGTAGACAATGATATTTATCATTAGCTAGTTTTTTTCATCTCAGTATATATATATACATTCATATACATAGAGCCAAGTGTATCAAATAGACAGCTATAAGTACAAGTCAGTTTCAAGGTGATTCATTTGACATTCATTTTATAAATCATGATGAAATAGAAATATGTCATACTATATTACTGGTTTTTTTTGCTAATAAAATATATATGAAATCTTACCAAATGAGAATAATAAGACGTAGGAAAATAATATAAGGTAAATCTATTCTTCATATCCATTTTATCTGCTTAATTGTATCCTTAACAGGGAAGTCGTCTGCAGGTATCACATGCCTGCTTCTATTCATAGAGCAGGTGATAAGGAAGAGTCTATTATAGAGAGGGGTTGTAATTGTCTTGGACTGAGCCATTATTGATTCCTGATAGTTTTAATTCTAAAGATAACCAGGAATCAAGAGAAATCTAGAAATAGATACTCAGAACATGTTATGAATATTGTTAATGTCAACTTTGATATTGTTAGTGGAATGGAACTGTTTCCTGTAGGCCTATGGTCTGTATAAAAATCAATATGATTAAACCATCTGGGTATGTTTTTATGGTGATATAGGGAAAGGGTTGGAACTTCTTATATAAGCACTTGCACATAATATAATAACAATAATAAGTTTACCCAATGAAAACAGTAAGCTTCAATATCTTATAGAAGGTGAAAAACAGTAAACAAGATTATTTCTCAAGGGATTAACCATTGCCTTTATGGAAATACTGACAAATAAACAATCCAACTCACCACCAAATAGCAGTATTGGACTTAATTCTTGTAAGTCATAGGTGATCCAATTTGTTTTTCATGATGGATGAAACTCCATTAATCAACAAAAATTAGGCACAATGAACTGATAATATCACAATAGAACTACAATTATTTTTTTATTTTATGATTCAATGAATTGATTTAAACTATCTTGTTTTGAGATTCAATCAAAAATATCACTCATACATACAAATAATATACATAATTTACAAATAATATACAACTTATAAAATATATACAAATTTGAACTAGATTATGTAAAGCACTCATTCTAAATCCATATTCACATATAAAAGAAAGGATTACCAGTTGCAGGTGTTCATTACAATTGAAAGGTACAAACAGTTATGAACATTTTATTAGAACAAAGAGGCTATTTTAATTATTCCTAATTAAAAAGAGGCACAGCCAGTTTAGTAGGGTGACATTTTTGGTGGTTACTATATATTTCATATGTATCAGATGTTATTTATACGGTAGCCTACTGCACAGCACAAATAACATGTATTTTCAAAATGAGAGGTAACATTTAAATTTCAGGTTTTTAAATTTGAGACTCTTTGGGATTTTATTTTCTCTTTGCAGTATCAAATAAATCATGAACACATAATTTCTGAGCACTGAACCCTGAACATACTTGACCATTTTAAGAGACAAAAAAAGTCAAAAACATACAAATAGTGAATCTATAAATATCTATAAATATGTGCTTAGGGAATGCAAATGATACTGTTTATAAAATTATGAAATTCCCCACAATAAAATTCCAAACAAAAATTTGATAGTTCCTTTTATCGTCTTAGTTGTTCTCCCCATACAAATATTTACAATATTGTGTCAGTGACTGGTTATTCTATTTTGCCACATATACTTTAGACCTAAAAAACTGGAAATGGCATATTATTATCTTTTTTACTTTATCTGATGCATTGCAGGTATAAGTAAATAAAAAACATTTTGCATTTATTATTAAAGAGAGAACACTGTTTTCAATATTTCTTGTCCAGATCTCATTTCTTCCAAAAAGTTAACTATCTTTTTAAAGATATGTTCCTATATTTTCATTTATAGAAATGAAAATGCTAATACTTTAATATGAATAAAAGGTAGAAGTGTTCTAATGACTTAGAAAAATACCAGTTTGTCTCACATAATAATTCTATAATTAATTCATAGCTCGCTTAATTAGAAGAGAATTACCAACAGATTTCCAATGAGTGACAAATCAAGAAAGGTCAAAAAGTCTTATTTGGTTTATTCAGACTGAACATACACGAACATTTAAGATAGATTAAAACTGGTTTGCTTTACTTGACACTAAAGAAATCCATCTTTCATCTATATTTCCGTCAAGAAATTGTTTAGTAGAAGAGTCACTGACGATATAACTATCACAGCTTTCACATTAACCCATCCCTCTTCTTTACAATAATAAATTAGAAATGTCAAAACATGATTGCCTTTTTTATCTATAGAACCATATAAATGAATATGGAAGCACAAAAGTAAGTTTAGAGCCAGCTAAACATTAGAGATCATGTGTCCACACCTCATCTCAGATATCTGTTTCACTTTATCTGCTACATGCTAAATTATCATCAATCAGTTTATACATAATCATAATATACACAAAGTTAAATGGTATGATCACAGTTGAGCCTATTTACAAAGTTAGCCATATATATATATGATTTACAAATATCAATTATTTTCTGATTAGTAGTATACAATCATATAATTCTCATAATTTGGAATCATAAACTGTTTTGGGGTATTTAGAATGAAAATACAGACAAATACTGAAAGTTTCAATCAAATACTGGATGGAATATCATTTTTAAATTACTGCAGTCTTGTTAATCAATAAAATAATTTCAAATTTTATGTATTGATATGTATTATTGTCTTGTATTTTAATTTAGAAATATAATTATACAATAGCATACATTAAACTATGCACAGGTTTCAGGGTGGGTGTGGTGGAAATGTTTTCGGAATTTCGATTTGTCTCCTTTGATATGTTCTACACTCTGTTTTCTTGTATGACCTGAAAAGCAAAGCAAAATATAACATATGATTTTAGTTGAATAATTTTTAGCCTTAAAACTCACCTTAACTTTATAACAGCAATTAAAGTATAATAGGTATAAAGGTCTACTTGGAATCTCAATAAGATGTTGAAACAATAACAAACAGATATATACAGACCTATAGTAACTATAGTGCTACCTATAGCTATGCCAGTTTGTCCATTCGGTACATAATCTTCATCACCTATTGGTAGTTGTATTATTAATGATAACACTGCAGCTTTATTGCTGTGTAATGGTTCTATAGCAATTGCCCCTGGACCAATCTGAAATTATAATTAGATCATCAAAGTCATTACCAGTGTCTTAAGACTGAATAATATATCAGATACCAAACTTAATAAAATCATATGAAATGCGAAACATGCTAGAATTATTCTATATTTATTTTCAACAAAGACTTCCTTGTGCACCATGGATTCCTGCTTTGAAAATCAATAATGGATGTCCAAAGTCATAGTTAATCTTAAACAAACCTTCTTGCGTTTTCTAGGGAAAGTGTCTTGAGGATCTTTCACTTCCTTCTTATCAGCTGAACATGGTTCTATTAATTTCTTTCTTTCTATGTCTAATGTTACATTAGAAAATGGCCTACTTGCCATTTGTTGCATTTCTACTATCATTAGCTAAAAAGACAAAAATCATTTTCTCTCGTAAAAACAATTCAGTTTTGGACAAAGTAAAATTGAGAGAGATAGACTACCCTGAATTTGTGTTCTCACTATAGGCTAACCTTGTGATATCCTCAACAACTCTTTAAGATAAAATAAGAACTTTTTTCTGGCCACAAGATACACTGTCAAGATATATTTAAAGAAACAATTATTACCTGTCTACGTCTATAACTATCATATTTATGTTTAATTTTCCACAATGCTGCTGCTATCAATAATAATGATAAGAAACAGCTGAAAAATAAAAAATTTGAACCATAAATATAAATATATATCATATATGTATCACCATAAAATGCCATTCTTTTCATTTCAGTCCCATTCATTTTCAGATCAACTGTCTTTAGTATGATTTTTATTACAAACATATAAAAATCATTTTGAAATACATTTTAATAATATTTCAAATAATATTCTCACTGATATAAATAAATACCTGTAACATAATGATGAATTAAAGATTACCTGAAGAATGTAACAAAGAAATGTACCAAATCTATTTTAGGAAACTGTGAGAATGACACCTTAAATAGAAAATAAATAATGAATGTAATAAGATTCAAATAGGCTTGAGTTTGAACAGCTTTACATGGTAAATAACATATTATTTTAAATCAACCAAACATGAAGCAGAACTCACAGGTCTCAATGGTGGGTCTATAAGGTTTTTTGAAAATTGGATCATAAAGTTAATGACTCAACATGAATTTTTTTTTTCTCCATTGTCTTATTCATCTATAACTTGTGCTTCTAATATGAAGGAATAACTATCCATGTAATGCTTTTTTTACAAATAGTGTTTCACAGGCTTTGAGGGCTAATTGTTTTTGTGGTAAGTTTTCAACAGATTTTGGAAATGTTCATCCAGGTGAATATGCTAAAAATATACTTACCACCAACCAAAAAGGTGTTTTATAAGCATACACATAAACTAAAAATGTTGTATTTGCATCACCAGCAAAATCATAATCTTTATGTTCAAACTTTGTTCGGAATAAATCACATTCATGAGCAACGGTAAAATATTCTTCTTCTGGTCGTGATTCTATAATAACATATTATAGATACTTAAATACATCATAATACATATCATTATAAAGACATTTACTAGGAATAGGAATATGTAAGCAATGATGCTTTCCTTTCATAAACATAACAAGAGTTAAGTAACGGTACTTTATAAAATATATCGTAATGTTACCTGATTTCGTTGTGATATTGATTAAAGCATATCCTGAACAATTTAAAGTAAAATCAACATCCCTGTCAGACTGTAAAAAACATAAAATTGAACTTGATATTTTACATATCATATAAATGTAAATATAATGCATACCCTTTGTTATTTACTTATTTCTTTTGTAAAGAGTACAAGTGGTTGCCTAGCAAGATACGCCCACTATCCTGATACATTTTCAGTATATCAAGGGCGGTCACCTATCTGTGTTAAATCATACCAGAAATTTAATTTGTGCAAAATGTTGTTGATTTAAACTGTCACCTCTATCACCAACAAATTTGGATGAGTTTTTACTAAGTCAATGGAAATGACTCAGAAAAATTGTCAGATTCAATCTTGACTAGGATCTCATCATTATAAATGATCATATAAAATTTCATTGAAATAGGATAAAAACTGTACTTTCTGTTGTGTTCACAAACAAATTTTTACGTGTTTCTCATAAATCAAGGGCAATAACTCAAAAAACGTTCATCGAAAAATAGTGAATATTGAACTTGTCCAAGATCTCATCAATATAAATGATCACACCAAATTTCATTCAAATCAGATGAAAACTGTAGTCTCTAGATCTTTTTAGTTCTCATATTATAGTTACCAAAAATTAATCCTTTTTAATATAATATAATTTTCTAACATTAAAACATAGCTGACTATACAATATATTAATATTATATATACATACTGATGTAGGAGTATTCTTAAAGTTGATCTGAGTAAAAAATCTATCTTCATACTTAGACAAATTAAAGGTGAATTGAAAATCTGTCATTAATTGATCTGGAAAAAAAATTAAATCCATGTGAAAACGGTGCTTCCAAATATTATAAATTTGATCATATTTATTGGAAATACAATATATCTGTCAAAATGTCTAGCCTTGAAATACCATGAAAGAAGTCAGTTTCCAAATCCATATCATTAGCTGCAGTATAAAAGCAATCCATAGTTATTATCATTTCTTTTCATTATCTTCTTTTGCATTTTTTACTGTTAACTCTAGTCAGTGCTATTTTGATCTTCTCTCCTTATATCAAACAAGATACTTGCAATATATAGACACAGCTTCATGGAACAACAATCACTGGTTAAAGTTTTATGCAACGTTTCGATGTGTTTCCCCCGTTGTCCTCAGGCACTTAATGAGAAGAAGTGATGGGCAAACTATATATACATTAATGCTTATTATTAAGAACACACAAGAGATAAATGGTTTATTGATACATTACATTAAATTTTAACAGGTACAATAAGAGGTATATAATTCTTAAAATAACATACAGGCTGATTAAGTAAAATAATTGAAATAAAGTAAATGAATTAAAAAAAGATTAATTGAAGATTAAATAAACAACTATTGCTAGTATTGGAGTCTTTTATTAATAGAAACTACATTGTTCATATAACTAACTATGCTTAAAGTTGGAAATTGTTTATTAAATACATTTATGAATAAGTTGATAAGTTTATCATATGCATGCGATAAATGAACACCTTCATCTCTGTTAAGGTCAGGCTGATATCTTCTGATGTGGATAGCTTCATGAAGTCTCCTGGTTTTATCTATGTGCTTATTGATTGTCAGTATGTTGGTATTGTCAAAGTTGACTTTATGTCCTGTTTTCCTTCCCATAGCAAGATGTTCAGCCAAAGCAGATGTTCCTTCATTGCCGGGCTTGTCTTGATGGTCTTTGAGTCGAACATCAAGGGGTCTCTTTGTTTCCCCTATATAAGAACTTCCACAGGAGCACTCAACTTGGTAGACACATCCTTTTTGGTTGTTGGAGGGATTCAATTTACCACTGGCTCTGAGCAAATCTTTAAGCGTTGAGTTGCCAGAGAACACTGTTTCAATGTTTCTGACTGACTTTTTCAGGATCTTCTTGATTTGGTATGATGCCTTTTCGATGAATGGGATAGCTAAGCGGGTTGATGGTCTGTTGGGATTAGGCTGTTGGTTGGTTGGTTTTGTCATTAATACGGATCGAAAAGCTTGATGTACAAAGGCTGGATGGTAGTTGTTGTGCAAGCAAAATACTTTCTTGATGTGTTGTAATTCTTGTTGAAAGTATTCTGGGTCACAAATCCTTTTTGCTCTTCTGACCAGCGCTGTGATGGCTGCCCTTTTGACATGTTGAGGGGTGTTGGAATGGTAGTTCACATACTGATCTGTATGTGTAGGTTTCCTATACACGAATGTCTTCAACTGACCGCCTAACCGCTTAATTCTCACATCCAGAAAGGGTATAGAGTCATCTTCTTCTGCTTCTATGGTGAAATTCATCCTCTTATGCTGAGCATTAAGAAGTAGAGCTGATGGGTCATCTTCAGCTCTAAGCATGACGAAGGTGTCATCAACTTTCCGGAACCAGCAGATTGGTGAGATCGGAGAGGTTTCCATGGTCTTTTCCTCAAAGGCTGTCATATAGATTTCAGTAATCAATGGTGACAAGGGGCTTCCCATAGGTAGACCGTGGATTTGTTCATAGATCTCATCTCCCCATGTGAAGTAGGTAGAGGACATACACATCTGAATGAGATCAACGATTCTGTCTGTAGTAAGTGTAGTATCTAGTGGGGTCTCTAATTTAGATATCTTATCTCTTATGATACTCAACACATCTTTACATGGGACATTGGTGAATAAGTCAACAACATCATATGAGTACATCTTCCCTGTGATCTGCAGTTCTTTCAATTTGGTGACAAATTCCTCTGAGTCTTTAATGAATGAGTTAGCTGTTTTCCCCAAAGGTGCCAAGATTCTGCTAAGATGTTGGGCGATGTTATAGAAGACAGAATCCCGAGAGCATATGAGTAGCCGAGCCTTGATGGGGTTTTTGTGGATTTTAATTGTTGCTCTGGCATATTGTGAACGTGGGTGGCGGCTTGATCTCAGTTTAAATTTGAGTTGATTGGTAATTTGGTTACTGGATTCAAGTTCGTTTAACTTCTTGTCCAACCTGTCTTTGTATATGCTCATTGGGTTTTTGCAGAGTCTTCTGTAAGTTTTCGCATCACTAAGTAGTTCTGTGACAGTTTCTTGGTACTCTTTCTTATCCATGATAACTATGGCTTTCCCTTTGTCTGCTGGTAAAATGGCGATCTTATTATCTTGTCTGAGGTCAGTGAGTGCATCCCTCTGAACTTTGGTTAAGTTGTTGGGTTGTATCTTGTTTTTAGCGAGGATCTCTGTCACTTGATGTCTCAGGTAGTTGATATGACCGCCTGGGGCTAATTGGTGTAAGCCACGTTCTATGTTGACGATGAAGTCATCATGGTTTTTGAGTTTGGTAACGGGTGAAAACTTTAGGCCTCGGGAGAGGAGGTTTATTTGCTTGTCTGTAAGATTTTTCTGGCTTAGGTTGATAACAGTTTTGGTTAGGAATTCATTTGACAGCATCGTCAATCTCATTCAGATGTGCATGTCCTCTACCTACTTCACATGGGGAGATGAGATCTATGAACAAATCCACGGTCTACCTATGGGAAGCCCCTTGTCACCATTGATTACTGAAATCTATATGACAGCCTTTGAGGAAAAGACCATGGAAACCTCTCCGATCTCACCAATCTGCTGGTTCCGGAAAGTTGATGACACCTTTGTCATGCTTAGAGCTGAAGATGACCCATCAGCTCTACTTCTTAATGCTCAGCATAAGAGGATGAATTTCACCATAGAAGCAGAAGAAGATGACTCTATACCCTTTCTGGATGTGAGAATTAAGCGGTTAGGCGGTCAGTTGAAGATATGCGTGTATAGGAAACCTACACATACAGATCAGTATGTGAACTACCATTCCAACACCCCTCAACATGTCAAAAGGGCAGCCATCACAGCGCTGGTCAGAAGAGCTAAAAGGATTTGTGACCCAGAATACTTTCAACAAGAATTACAACACATCAAGAAAGTATTTTGCTTGCACAACAACTACCCTCCAGCCTTTGTACATCAAGCTTTTCGATCCGTATTAATGACAAAACCAACCAACCAACAGCCTAATCCCAACAGACCATCAACCCGCTTAGCTATCCCATTCATCAAAAAGGCATCATACCAAATCAAGAAGATCCTGAAAAAGTCAGTTGGAAACATTGAAACAGTGTTCTCTGGCAACTCAACGCTTAAAGATTTGCTCAGAGCCAGTGGCAAATTGAATCCCTCCAACAACCAAAAAAAAAGGGATGTGTCTACCAAGTTGAGTGCTCCTGTGGAAGTTCTTATATAGGGGAAACAAAGAGACCCCTTGATGTTCGACTCAAAGACCATCAAGACAAGCCCGGCAATGAAGGAACATCTGCTTTGGCTGAACATCTTGCTATGGGAAGGAAAACAGGACATAAAGTCAACTTTGACAATACCAACATACTGACAATCAATAAGCACATAGATAAAACCAGGAGACTTCATGAAGCTATCCACATCAGAAGATATCAGCTTGACCTTAACAGAGATGAAGGTGTTCATTTATCGCATGCATATAATAAACTTATTCATATTCATAAATGTATTTAATAAACAATTTCCAACTTTAAGCATAGTTAGTTATATGAACAATGTAGTTTCTATTAATAAAAGACTCCAATACTAGCAATAGTTGTTTATTTAATCTTCAATTAATCTTTTTTTAATTCATTTACTTTATTTCAATTATTTTACTTAATCAGCCTGTATGTTATTTTAAGAATTATATACCTCTTATTGTACCTGTTAAAATTTAATGTAATGTATCAATAAACCATTTATCTCTTGTGTGTTCTTAATAATAAGCATTAATGTATATATAGTTTGCCCATCACTTCTTCTCATTAAGTGCCTGAGGACAACGGGGGAAACACATCGAAACGTGGCATAAAACTTTAACCAGTGATTGTTGTTCCATAAAGCTGTGTCTATATATCGTACTCACAATTGCTAAATGCCATTCAAAGACTTTAAGATACTTACAGTAACAAGTACCACCATCTTTAGGATTTCCAACATAACTATGATTCTTGTCACACCTGGTGATAGAAAAACATAATTGTCAAGTGTCAAACAAACAGTATGGTCCAGTCTTTCAGGTTCATCACCAAGCCTTAAACTGTTGATGAATCTTATATTGGAGATACGTTGCAAGAACATAAAATGTAACAATTGACAAGATATGAATTGATTTTTTTTTTTAATTTTTGACTTCTATCCTGTGTTTGCATACCTTTTCAGATATTCTAGTTCTAATTGAACAGAGTTGGACAGTCAACATCTATTTCTAAATTAGCTTTCCTAATGGTGAATTTAGTAACCAGTGTTGAAAGTATAAAACTAGCTCCTTCTGGTCATATGATTTTATCTTTTAAGATAGTAACTTTTACTTACAATTCACACTTGTCTCCTGTAACACCTCTAGTTCTACAGTGACATACACCACTTTCTCTATTACAGGTATCAGCCTGGCCATTACATTCACATACAGAACAATTACCACCATTTCTAGGATTACCAAAATAACCTGATTTACACTGTTCACATTGTTTTCCTGAAATAAATATTGAAGAAATAGTACATTAACATTTAATTGAGCTTCCATTTATCATTATAATAACATCAGAAATGTAACAAGCATTTCATAATTTTAGCAAATCAACAACCATTCAGTGATTGTCTTTTGAAATCAAGTCTTCATAAATTTCATACCAGTCTTACTATTTACTACTAGTCACTGTGGCTCAACAGAATCAAAGTGATTAATGAACATGCCAACATAAAAAATAGATTATGAAGAAATCTAAACTACAAACCTTCAGTAAGATCTTGACAGTTTTCACAAACATCAGTATTTTCTATACATGTACTATGTCCATTACACTGACACACTTAAATTATTCAATATCAAGTCTTGAATCTTTTAGTATTTTCTTTTACAAAAATAATGTCTAAAATTCCTTTCATTATAAGCTCTTTTAATTTTGATGCATTTCATGAAGATGTTTTGTGAGAATCAATATTGCCTGCTCTAAAATCACAATTGCTCTACACCTTATAGATTCTAACACTGAATTCTCATTCCAGATCAACTTCTTGTTTGCTTTTTAAAGTCAGTTACAGATAGCATAGAATCGTCTAGTTCACTCACTCTTGATTGGATAATATAAATTTTAATAACAATGACAATTTTGCCCTGTAAAACAGTAGGCTGTCAATGTTATCAAAACCATCATGAGGGAATTGATACTTAGCAATAATATGAATTTTATATAAAAGACTTCAGTAAAAAAAATAGTTGAAAAGACTTACAAGGACACTGAGTGAAATACCATCTCTCAGCTGGACAATAGGAATGATTAGTTAAACTGGTGTTATCAACTGGTCCATGAGCACCACCTTCCATACAGACACCTAATCCTGTATTATTAGGATCATTACACCAACCACAGACAGAATTAGCCTGACAGTCACTACATGATTTTAATCCTGAACATCTCGTAGCTACAAATTGAGAAATATATCTTTAAAAAAAACAGGAGGTTATGATGATATCACCTTACAGCTTATTTGAGAAACACCTTAAATAATATTTCAGATTGAGATATCTCAAAACCAAATGATATTCAGCACTGACCATAGTTTATTCAAATTGCATGCTTTTAATTAAAGATAAGCAACAAATTGATCATAAGGTCAAGTGGTCAATTGATGTGCGCTAAAGAGCAACTTTACTGTTGGAATTACCATCACGATATAAATAGATTATTATGATTATTATTATGATTATTATTATGATTATTATTATTTTTATTATTATATTAGTTTAACTGTCATTGTGCAGACATATGATCTCACATACACATCGTCCACTTTGAAACTGAGCTTGCTCTATCTACAGGTTTCATTTCCTTTTCAAACTTTACCTTTTCTATATTAAAAACAATTAAAACTACCTGGACATTTAGCATCTTTAGTTGTCCAGTCCATACATTGACCATAAGGAAATGATACAACATAGGAGTCAGTATCTACACATTGTTTCATGTTACTACACCACATACATGTTTGCTCAGTACAAGCTTCACATGTTTTATGATTTGTACAAGGTTTTTCACATTGAGCTGTTGGTTTAGGTGTTACAGATTCTTCTTGTTTTTCTATAATGATAACATTTATACAATAGTTGACTTTTTCACACTTATACATAGTATTTTATTGGAAAATTAATCATCAATATATCTTATAAATGCCAAAAGGGCACTTTTAAAATCTATTGTCAATGTTTATAAAATTTTCAAAAAGTAATTTACCTAATTTCTGATTTAACATTAATTGAAATTTGACAAAGAAATATCACACAAACCTGTTTCAATAAGTGTTAATTTTATTTTACATGATTTCTGCCACTGACAGAGTGGATTACTGATACATGAATAACAGTTCTGTTCCTGATCACAAACTTTATCTTGTACTACAGAACAGTTAGCTGGAGAAAACTAAAAGATGAAATGTTAGATTTGATAGGTTAGAAGATCTGAAAAAATATATAAACTATCCAGATTCCTGAACTTTTTGTTCTGTATGTTTATAGTTGCTCTTTATGTATTGTAAACCAACTTCTTAACAAATTTTGATCAGCAAACAAGAATTCTCAGCTATTGTGAGATATTTGGATATGGACAAACATATTAACATCTACAATCCTGTACCTTGTTTGATTACTCATGAAAACTTAACTACCTCAGTTTCTATGGTGCAATTTGAATGTTCACAACTACCAGGATTACTACACCAGTTACATTCATATACACTAGACTGACATTCTGAACATAATTTGATTTTGTTACATTCTACTTCTCTTCCTGTAATAAAGCATCATATTCCTTTCTATTAATTTCAAAATTCATCAACACACTCAATTATTAAGAATATTGTTGAAAATGTCATTGAACCAGTTGGATTCTCTTGAATTACTGTTAATTCAATGCATTGAAAGTGCCCTGGACTAGATCAATAAGAACCTTCAGGTCAGCATAAAAAAAAACACCACTGTTCTGTTTTAATCTTTTTAGATTTTTCAATATAAACACATAGATTTACAAATATAAATCCCTGAATTTGATCACAGAGAAAGATGGAAATGTTGTAAGAGTTTTTTCCCCACTTAATTTCAAAATTTCAAATTACCTTGAGCAGGGTTACATATTGGTGTATATGTATCAGGAAGATTTTCTCTACTATAACACTTATCTTGGTACCATATACACATAGTTAATGGTTCTATACTGTTACAAGTCTCTTCATCTTTAACTATTCCACACTTACCTACAAATAACAAAATATACTTCTTGTTATATAGCATAGTTAGTATATCTATAGCTATTACGAAATAACTAGTTTGTTTCAAAGAAATACTTATTTCGTTCAAATGAAATACATTTTTTACGAAATTATTATTTTGTATAATCGAATAACTCATTTCAAACTTATTTAAATGTATTTCATTTAAACTAAACAAAAAATGTATTTCATTTAAACTAAACAAAAAATGTATTTTGTTTGAACGAAATAAGTTATTCGATTAAACGAAATAATTATTTCGTTAAAATGAAATAAAAAATGTATTTCGTTTTAACTAAATATATGACGTTATTTCGTTGAAACAAATTAGTTATTTCCTAATAGAACGAAACTAAAATGAAATATTTTATAAAGGTAAGGAAAATTGTGCCTAAGGGGCTCCGTACTTTACAGATTATCTACAAACTTACCAACAGAATATTTGAGAATATCATTCAACATCATTCCATTAAAGCCTCCAAATATATACACATTCCTGAAAATATCAAATAAAAACTATGAACATTCTTAAAGATATCAAAAAATATACACACAGTAGTTTAACACTTGAAGTGTATTCTATTTATTTACTTATATCTATTTAAATAAGACTTGAAAACATCAAATATACATAACAGTTACCTACAATCTATGTGCAAAACAAATATAATTCAAACCTTATTCACAAACTCTTGAAAGCCTTAAATAAAAACCATTGAATATACTTACCCATTATTACTAGACATGGTATGACCATATCTTGCTATACTTTTATATAGGTTTGGTGGTGATAACACATGCCAAGAATTACAATCTAAATATATTCAAAATATTGCAAGAAAGAAAATAGCCTTGACCTTGACAAAAATTATTTTTTTAAAAATTCATATTTATAAATACAAACATCATCAAAGACAACTTGGTGATAATGAAAGACTTGATATATTTGACAACAGATTTTGTATAATTAATAATCAGTCCCAAAATTTAAGATAACAGCAAAATTCAAACAAGAGTAAGACGACAGTAAGTACCTACCAATATTATATACCATAAAATCTGTAGAATAACATTTCGCACCATGGCTGACAGAGGTATCATTATGTGTATTACCACCAAACACTAACATTAAACCATTAGTTATTATAGCTGAATGAAAATACATTGGTGATCCACTCTTTCGTAATATTGTCCTAGAATATATCATTGACTTCATTAATCCTTCAATAATTAATGTCTATTTCTATACCATATATCCACAATTGTAATAGAACTGCCAAATTAATGGGTTATTTTTCGGAAAAAAATAGTCCTTGAGATGAATTCTTAATAAAACGGAGCAAGAACAACTTTTATAAATTAGTTACCATGTCTCTGGAAGATGAAATGAAATGAATAACACCTGCAATGAAGGACAATACAGCAGTATTAGCCTATTAATCTTCCATTTCCAACAACAAATATCTTTCAAATGACATAGTGTCTTCATAAGATCTATAATATGCAGAACACTTGTACTTTTCATTACATAGAGCAGGATCAATGAATAACTTGTTATATATAGACATACCATGTTTTAGTCAATATGTTGAACATGTATAGTTTATCTGTTAAATTATAACCAGATTGTGGGTTAGAATGATAACCACCATATATAAATATCCGAGCTTTTTGTGTCTCTATTACACTAGTATGTCCATAACCACCTTGTATAATACCACCATTAGTTTCACTAACTCTCCATATATCAGTGGCTTAAAAACATAACATAATTATCAATATTATATCATTCATCCTAAACACAGGCCACATCCATTCATATTTCTTAAAAAGGTAATATGCACCCACTGGCAGCTTTGATTTTAAACAAAAATATTTGACAGTACAGTAACAATTATCAGTATGAAATATTCAACCTTATGTCTTACAATTCTTTTCAACTTTTTGGGGCGATATTGTATATTACCAAGTTTCGTCGAAATCTGTCAAGAATTGGGCCTTCTAGAGTGTTTACAGACTAAAACTTGTTTTTAAGAACAAGGGCAATAACTCAAACTAAATATTTCTCAATTCTTCTGATTTTTGATAGGGTTCATCCTTGGTTGATAACTAACATTTACCTCAAGATTCGTCAAATCTGTCAATAATTGAACCTTCTAGAGTGTTTACAACCTTAAATTGAATGTGTTTTCAAGAATAAGGGCAATAACTCTTACTAAGAGATTTTTTTGATTTTCAATAGGGTTCATCCTTGGGTGGTAACTGACACTTACACCAAGTTTCATCAAATCCATCAAGAATTGAACCTTCTAGAGTGTTTACGAGCAATTGTGGACGGACGGACGGACCGTGGTGAATAAAACTTATTCTATTTATAATTCACAAGCAAAAGACTAGCATAAGCTTCAACTTCAAGTTAGTCTTCCATTTGGTTACAGAAAAGTATGTGTTCAACTTCAATAAAAGTTGATTTAATAATATTTGCCTTTCACTTTTTTTAGGATTAATTACTATCACAAACCCTGTATAGTTTATAATTGGTTGATGGAAAAGTGTCAGTAATAAGGGTTTGTCTATTTGAAGTTATACACTCACAGTTCAACTTACCTATATCATATTCTTGAACAATATTGAGATAACTGTATTTAGGACTGTAGCCGAAGAATACAAACATGGTACCATCAAATATATGAGCTGTATGACCAGATATATTGTATCTGGAGGATGTGAGCTGAGTCCAGTTAGATAGCACAATATCATATTTCCACAAATCATTGAATACCAATCCTTCAGACACACCACCATACATATATATCACATCTTTATATATATCACTAACATGACCATATCTTGAAGAGGGTATTGTACCTTTTTCTGGTACATTTGTCCATTTCTTCTTCTTATAATCATACCTTGACATGTAGATAACAAAACATTTTAATAGCAGTTAACTTTAATTACCTATATCAGACCGGCATGCAGATGGTAAATATTAAAGATTTTGGGGAAAGGGTAATTACTCTTCTTCTTACGGTCGAAAATAGCCCAAATTCGAACTTGATCTTCATTCTATGAATATGTCTACACATACAGAATTTCATTTGATTCCATCAAAAAATCTAGTTTTAAGAGCGTTTATAAGCAAATGTTGACGGACAGACAGACCGACGGACCTTCATTTCATGAATATGTATGCACATACCGAATTTCATTTGATTCCTTCAAACAATCTAGTTTTTAGAGTGTTTACAAGCAATTGATGTTGATAGAAGCACTTACAGTATAGAGGTTAAGGGCGATAACTCCTCAAAACTGACGTAAGAGGCCTAAATTTTGAAAAAGCCTTATATCTAATCAGAAGTAAACTCAACTTTCTCAAACCTTTCGATTTAGGTCCAATAACATCCATTTTAAGTTTCATCAAAATCGGTTGAAAACTAAGAGAGTAATAGCATATTCAAGATTTTGAGGCAAGGGCAATAACTCTGCTTCTAACGGTCGAAAATAGCTCAAATTCAAACTTGATCTTTGTTTTATGAATATGTATACACATACCGAATTTCATTTGATTCCATGAAAAAATCTAGTTTTTAGAGCATTTACAAGCAAATGTTGACAGACGGACGGATTGACGGACCGATTGATGGACGGAGTGTTTACGAGCAATTGATGTTGATAGAAGCACTTACTCTATGGAGGTTAAAGGGCGATAACTCCTCAAACTGACGTAAGAGGCCTAAATCTTGAAAAAGCCTTAAATTTAATCAAAAGTAAACTAAACTTTCTCAAACCTTTCGATTTAGGTCCAATAACATCCATTTTAAGTTTCATCAAAATCGGTTGAAAACTAAGAGAGTAATAGCATATTTAAGATTTTGAAGCAAGGGCAATAACTCTGCTTCTAACGGTTGAAAACCGCTCAAATTCGAACTTCGTTTTATGATTATGTATACACATACCGAATTTCATTTGATTCCAACAAAAACTTTTTGTTTTTAGAGCATTTACAAGTAAATGTTGACGGACGGACGGTGCTGACAATATACATCCACATAGAGAGATGTGGGCGTATAAAAAATGATAACAGAAACTTGTTGTCTGTAGATGGCAGAGTCTCAATCAGTTAAAATCACCATCCTTGCCTCATAATGAACATTCATATTAAAAAACAGCCTGTAGAGGGAGCATGAGAAGATGACAATTTACTTCAATACTATGAAATTTAAATATATTCCGTCATCAAATAGAGATCTGGAAATCTATCTACTTTTACATGTTTAACCATTATAATTATGTTTTAATCCTTTATCAAATTATTTAATATAAATCTAAATCACCTTGCAAGATTTTTCTCTGCATTTCCAGACAATGTATGACCACCAACGATCCACACAGAATCACCTTCAGTTATTGAGGCATGGGATGCTCTTGCTACTGGTGCATTTGTTGACTCTACCATAGACCATTCAGACTGATATTCATGTAAACTGCAATCCTCTCCTATACAATATAATTCAATTGTTTTTCTAGGAAATTTACAAATTTCAAGATATTAACTACTTGGATGTGAAGTGCAGAAAATGAAACGAAACAAATATCTTGATCTACAAATTCATTCTAGATTGTAATAAAAAAAACCTTTAATGCTGTTAAACCTACCCTTAAAGCCAGCATAACATGAACATTTTCCAGAAATACAATCACCATTATTGGAACAGTTATTCAGACAAATAGGTATCTCGCAAGTAGTTCCTGTAAAGCCATCATTACATGAACACTTTCCGTTATTACATGTACCTTGTTTAGAACAACCACCATTACAATCATTGACACTAAAATTATAAATAATACATCAATGAAATTGATATATAACAACACAAACAATATAAAGTGTGTATAATACAGATGACTAGGACAAACTGTTTCATAGATATGAGGGCTTGTAAGGAAAACTTATTATTCCATATGATTGAAGGTTGGCAGTTATTAGTGAGACAAGAAAGCAGTTAAGACGATCTTAAAAGGTGAGGTGGAACATATATGGATATCAGTTTACAAAGATATGATCGAGCTAAGTTGTGGATGCTTTCAAAAGTTAGATAGAGAATACTTGTACATGAAAATTAACTTAACTTTTCATAAGTCTTTATCTTTACAGGAAAAGATGAGAATGAATTACTTAAGTTTATGTATGATAATCAATAAGGAATAATACCGTAATATTAAAGATAACTTTTGGACATATTGCCTTAAAAGGAATAGGAATAATGGTGGCGTAAGATAATTTGTGATTTTTTATTCACAGTGGAGGCTCTTAGAAAGATGACACATTATAATAACTTTCAAACAGAGATAATTATTAATACACATGGATTGGAAAGCTAAAATTTCAATGGTAACAAAGCTGTACTATTAATGATTATTTCAGCGGAATAATTCCTGTCAAGAAAAAACACCTCTGGTAACATTTTGAATGACAGTATCACTGAACATGCAATTGCAGGGATAAATTCATTTAAATATTTGGTATTTAAACTATACTAGATGATAGAACTTGATTTCAGTATCTTAATCACTTTCACAATAAACCCAAATTGAAGGTGACAACATTATCCCTTAAAGGGCAATAAAATAATCAATATAGATAAATCAAAAAATATATCTAGACTACAGAGCCAGAATTATAATACTATATATTATTGCAGGGAAGGAGGAAGGACAAAATAATTTGATTTCCTCATATTAATCATTTCAACCCATTTCTAAAATTTCAGGCAAGTTAAATATCAAATTTTATCTCTGTAAACACTATTAAACAATAAATATGTCATAGATTTATTGTTCAAGTGACAATTACACCTTATATTTATTACCCTTCACATTACTATCAAACTCTACATATTTATTATATTTAATATATTTCAATTATATTCATACTCATTTAGTGTAAAGCAAATCTTACAAAATCTGAATAGATCAATTTGAAAGCTTACTTTACAATTCAAGAAAAGAGGTCACACCTAAATTCATATGAACTATAAAACTTATTTCATTTCAGTTTTCTTCTTGAAGTTCAATTTTTAACTTTTAACTTTTCTACAATTCAGATAATATGCATAGGACTGTCTGAGATAATAAGTGTAAGATATCTTTTAACTGACCTGATCACAAATAATATATCAAGCTGGAATAGGCCTAATATAGGGACAATTGCTTTGAAGGAAACAACCAAGCAAGTATATACATACATATAAAATGTTTTATAATGTCACAATGTATTAGACAACAAGTTCCTGTCTTCGTTAGACTCTACTGAAAACAGTATTTCAAGTTATCATGTAAATGATATTTTGTAGTAGCCTATTAATGTTTAATATTATACAGTACTGTGTTTTTATATTATGTGAAAGGATTTTTCTCGGTACTTACCTAAAAGAGATGTTAAATCCTGCCATAGTATATGCAGCATCACTGGAGAAATGAACATAAACATAACGATTGAACACTTTAACACTAAATCCTTTATCTGTCTGATTATCACTAGCTTTAACCATTAAACCACTATGAAAATATAAAATGATAGAATTTGATCATTTTACAAAATTACAGATACCTATTTAAAGGGATTAATAATCCGTTTAAAATCTTTTATTTCTTCAGTAGGTTTTAAAACAAGTTTTATTAAGATTGAGAGTCTCTGTTTCACCGATTGATATTTTCAACTAAATTATGCTAGCAGAAACCAGCTTGACCAGCTTTAAAACTATGTAACAACAATATTAACTTCCCAAGGTTATATTAGATGGTTTTTATTTTGTTATCATCCCATAATATCAGATTCTTAGGAGCAAAATCCTTTTACAAAACCTTTTATAGTGGAATAGTCCATAATTTGTAATAATATCAGTTTCTCAAATCAATTTTCAAAATAGAATTCAAGCTTCAGGTTTGTCTGTAATTGGCAACCCATTGAAAGAACAACAGTATAAGTAGTTTCTTTTGTCCTAATCTCCCTGACTTAAAGATTTGTACAGATCAAACAAGGATGAGAAGAAAGAAACACTATCTATTTACCTGAATGCTGCAAGTACTGGAGAGAAAACAGAATCACCATCATGTATATAGAGATGATCCCAACCACATTCAGTAGCAAACTCAATAAAATGAAACCAAATAGTTTGGTTTGGTTTGTTTATATCTAATAACCAGCTACATTTAGTTGATAAAGAATAATTCCCTACCCCATCAGAGATATGACCCTCTAATTGACTAAACCTGCAAAGAGAGGGACATAATATTTAAGGAAAAAGTCATGAAACTTGACATAAGCTTACCTACTGACAGATAAATCACATTTTATTGATTATCATAATGAATAGTCATGATAGTCTTAGAAAGACTTTGCATTGAGACATATGCCAACATAGGCACATAATGTGTTACATTTATTGATTATACTATAATCATATAGAATTTTTATCCAGAAGACAATTTTCAGCTAAAATATGAAAGACTATATAGGCTGTTATAGGCTGATAATACGACAGATTTAAAAATAGAGAAAAAATTGTTTTTTAAAGCCTAAGGACACAAATGTGAGTGAGGCCTATGATTATAACAACTGCCTAAAAACATTTATAAATTTTAAGGAAAATCTTGATGAATATAAATGTACCCTATTCCCATTAATTATTTTATAGGGCATAAGTAAATAAGGGCAATGTTCCTCTTTTCAGCAGAATGAAAGAGTAAACAAAAGAAAATTTTTAAAGAGATATGTAACTGATAATGACCAAGGATATGAATAGACAATATTCATAAAATGATGTTAATGTTATACAATGTTTCAATTTATATCTTACTCTGCTCTACCGTGACACCTATCACAATGTGTATTACTCCATCCTGCCTCACATATACATGTCTCATTCACAAATGTTCCGTGTAAACATTGTTTCTCTTCCTTGACAACACTTTCTGCACATTCAAAAGAACTTAACTGAACACTTAAAATAATGACAAATACAGCAAATATAGTCTTTTTAGGTAGATAAATGTCCGTATTTACAAATACTGCCATAACCCGTTCCTCCATTTTGTGACTGAGCCGCGATTATCCAGAAGAGTAAATATTTCTGGATAATCGAGAATAACAGCACACGAGCGGTCTTGGTCGGAGATTTTTGTCTCCGACTCGAATCTTGAATAAAATTTCGCGTGTGCCCGTGCGTCCACGACAAGATTATCGTGTCGCCGACAGGATTTATAATATCAAACAAGTTTGATACTTGTCTCCGATAGTTTAAGACAGACCGTCATCATCCAATCAGATTCCTTTCAATTGTATGCTCCGCATGTGATTATCGAAAAAGGGGAAACCGCCGACTGGAGATTTTTGTCTCATCGTGTGCCCGTGCCAGTCGTTGAAACTCAAGACAAGACTGTAATTGGCGAAAAAAGTCTCCGACCAAGACCGCTCGTGTGCCCGCACCTTAAAAGGACGTGCACCGAATGCCTTTTATATTAGGGTTTATAAGCGATATTGCATCGCAATTTGTTTGCCATCCAATATTTCTTATTTAACCAAAATTAGCACATCGCGATCTTTGGGTAGATATAGATTCTAAAACCGGAATATTTTGGACATGTTAGGCCTACCGACTTTTTATTAATTGTGATTTCAAATAATATTTGCTCAGCAGTGTTTAAAAATTGACATAGCAATGCTGAATATTCAATAGGGTCGCGACTTTAGTAATTTGAATAAAAGATAATACATTTGATATAAAACAGAAGACATAATACACTAAAGAAGTTGCACTTATTATTTTACTACAAACATTTTCCAATTTACAAATGACACTTTACATTTGAAAATATACTTCTGGTATTATCAGAAATGACGGTGGGTTATCGTTTAAGATTCTTCGTGGACTAGCATGAGGAGTGTGCAATTGGTACCATGACGTAGAGAGAATTTTGAATTGTTCAAAATATGTAGCCTAACACTACAACTAACTAATTTTCACATAATTTCACATCTATTGCTCTGTGACCTAGGCCAGTGCTTTCATTGAGACTCGTCTTAATACACCCTAACACTGCGAACTTTATTTAGCGGCCATCGCTTTGATATAATTCATAGCAAAAATAGACCAATTTCTCATCATTTTAATTTACCTGACCATTCCATTGAAGACCTTCTTATCATGCCTATTGAATTAATTCCTGACTCTGATCTTATCAAACCAAAAACCAAACGATTACAGAGAGAAAGCTACTGGATGGACCAACTCCAAACAGTGGCTCCAAATGGACTTAACATCCAGCATGATAATCAAATGATTCCATTTGTTGCCACCTTTAATCATACAGCTGCCAAAACCTCATCCATCGTCAAACAGTATTACAGTGAATTACAGAACAGATTTCCGAATGTATATACCAAACGACTTGTAATTGCCTATAAGCGCAATAAAAACCTTAGTTATTTTCTGGTCCGTGGTAGACTCGATCCCATTGAATCCAATAATACTTGACCCCCCTCTCTATTTTCTAGCTCATTAAGTATAATCTATTCTAATCTTTATATATAGATGTTTATCTTTCCAGAACCTATAAATACTCTTTTCTTTTAGAACTGGTAACAAGAAAACTTTCATATTATAGACTTTTGTTTATTGTAGATTACTCGTGGTTGTTTTTTAACTTAATACTAACTATGCTAACTTATCTTTATCTTGTATTGAACATTTATCTCTTTATTTGTGACCTTGGTCAGTGCTTTACATAGAAGTTTTAAGGAACTTCTTCATTCTTAACACTACAACATCAAATCACAAAATCGCCGCAGAAACTGCAAGCGTGAGCCTAATCGCAAACAATAATTAACCTTAAGGGTAACCTATATATTCATTAGTGGACTAAGGCTACTTTTTGTCAGTTACAGTATAAACCCTCTATAATCCGATAAATCCAAAATACCAAGTAATTATCCTTAAAACTACATGGCCATCTCGCAAGGTCCATATCAGGTCAAATTGTACATGACGATTAACATAATATAAAACATTAAATGCCTTGTTGAGATATATTATCCTTCAATAAAATTCCAATTAGTTAGTCAATTAGTACTTAGTCTTATGGATTTATCAGAATATACAGGATATGTTCAGAAATCAAGATTTAGGTGTTCTAGAGACATATTTCATTATTGTAGTACCAGCCAATGACTAAATAATCGGTTACCTCCCTCAGCAAACTCATTCTTTTCCTTTAGAAGTAAAAACAACGATTTGTTAAATATTTGCTTTTCCAGTCGGTTCTGGTCGTAGTTCTTTTCATACGCATTTGAGGCTAGTTAATCGTGAATAAGAACAGGAAGCAAGATGGAAGCGTTTCTCGAAAAAGCTGTGGCAGTTGGTAAAGATAAACACCCGAGGAATAAAAACAAGCATATTCAGTATGGAACAGCCGGATTCAGAACTTTGTAGGTTAACAAAGCATCATATTGATTGAATTTATCAATTATCAGTTGAATTTCCTTATAATCCCTAGCGGTAATCGGAATTCAAAGGGTTGTCTGCTGGAGTGTAGTCCAACACAAGAAGTCACGTGATCAACTAGCGGATTCCTTGTAAGCAGAAAAAAACCACAATGTGGGCCATATTCTTATGTTTTTTCAATGAAGTTAAGCAATAAATCACGCTACGTAGGCCTATCTTATTTTGTCAGTCCCTTTTTTATTTTTCTAATCATTGATTTTTGAAAGAATTGTCACTAGTTATAATAATGAAATTATATTAAAGATAAATACTAAAGTGTATCCATACATACAATGTGTTTTTCTCGACTTATGTATAGATCAAACATTGTACACGAAAATAGGTGACGCATTTTGCCGTCGTTGTCGAATTGGTTACTCATGAAATATGGGTCAAAGTGAGGGATTCATAAAGAAAATTGAAGCAAACCAATTTTAATTATTTTGTAGAATATCTGAGGAAACATCTAAGACATGAAAAAAAATTTCTATTTTTTAACTTCGATGAAATTCTGTGTTAAATCCTTATATGCCCGAAAATAGGTTACACCACTGTATTGGTATTGTCATTGGTATGTGCATGTGGCCGTCTAATCTATTTAGTAAATGTTGACATATGCGTAGCCTATTATTTACACAAGTATTTTTACATTGCCGTCGCTCCTGTCCGTTCACATTTCGTGTAGGCGCGATAGTGTCTACAGTTTTTATCCGATTTTGATGTAACTTGGTATGCATGTATATATTGATGAGATCTTGATCAAGTTCGAAATTGGTAATAATCGGATGAACAGTGTCCGAGTTATTGCCCTTGACTTAGTAAAAACACGTCAAATTTTCCTTGTCGACACAATGGAGACTACAGTTTTTATCTGATCTTCAGGAAACTTTGTTTGCATGTGTGTGTTGATAAGATCTTAGTCAAGTTCGAAATTGGTAATAATCGGATGAACTGTTTCAGAGTTATTGCCCTTGACTTAATAAAAACGCGTCAAATTTGCCTTTATCCAATCTTGATGAAACTATATATGATGAGATCACGATCAAGTAAGAAATTTGTAATAATCGGATGAACAGTGTCCGAGTTATTGCTCTTGTGTGTACAGCGCCGAGACATTGTTCATGTTTGAATTTGATGAAACTTTTATGAACTGTTTCAGGTTTTTGCCTTGACTTATAGATGATTTTAAGATTATTTGAAAATTCATTATTAAGCCACTAAAGATTTTGTTATCATTTCTGACAGCTGGTTGTGGGCGTATGTTACCATGCCTGGCAAACTATCTTTATTTACATTGGCAAAGAATTTCAAAAGGACAGTGATTTGAAATTTTTCAGGGCTGAGGAACTTGATCATGTTATCTACAGAATGGGAATATTGGCAGTCATTGCATCAAAATCAAGGAAAGGTAATTTGATTTAATTTAATCCGCATCCTCAGAACCAAGTTCTTTTGCTTCATATTCTCAGTCTATTGTCTGAATAAAATAGAATTTTTTCTTGAATGTTTTCTAGTATTTAAATGATTATTGGAATAGCAGCCTCGAAATAGAAGGCCCTGTACTGTTAGTCTTGGAATGTCTTTGCATTGATAAAAACATAAACATAAGCACACATTGTGAGGTTTGAAATTGAGGGAAATGTGTTTCTTTTCAATGTAAATTGAAAAAAGTCAAAAAAATTGTTGCTTTGCTTAGACAATAAAAACTATATAATAAACAACTGATAAAGGATCAATTAAAGCACAAAACAAGTTAAGATTTATTATCTCTTATGTCAAGGATTTGCTCTGTTTTATTTATAGCTACCATTGGAGTAATGATAACTGCCTCACACAATCCAGAGAAAGATAATGGAGTCAAATTAATAGATTGCCATGGAGAAATGATGCCAGCTTCATGGGAGAAATCAGCTACTGTACTTGCTAATGTTGGGTAAAATAAGGAGTAAATGTTTATGTCACTCCCTAGTCACTGTCTCATATTGGGTTAATTTTGTATTTTGAACATAAAAAAATCTGGATGGTGCATTTCATGTTTTTTCTTACAATTTACATGTCACAGCATGATCAGACTAAAATGTTATCCCCTAATCTTAATCAAATCAAATGCTCTGTTCGATAACAGATTTTCTTACTATTAGGAATTCTTGGAAACTCATTGTTAAACATTGACTATTATCTACTATTATAGTATTATTTCAGGGATGATGAATTGATAGCTGCTATAAAGTCCATTTTTTCTGCTGAGAATATTGACTGGTCTGTTGCAGCTAAAGTTATTTCTGGAAAAGATACAAGGCTAGTATATATAAATAATCATTAATAAGCATAATTTTATGATAGTTTCTAGTATTTTGTTAGCCAAGATATATGTGTCCAACCTTTGTACAAGAGTTTTGCAAAGTTTTTGATCCCTCTCAGTTAAAATTTTTGGTGATAAATCTTGTAAATGTGTACATAAATTTAGTATTTTCCACTCAATTGTTCACCCAGATCAAATTCTGTGAAGTGTTGACACCTTGCATACCTGAGTAAAAACTAATATATTGATAAATAATGAGTCCACTAATGACACTCACTTCTGTGCAATAAGGAAATTTTTATACGCCCACATGGAAATGTGGACATATATTGCTGTTTCCCCTTTCTGTCGGTCTGTCCACATTTCTTGTGAGCACTTTAAAGACTACAGTTTTCATTTATGAATGAAATTTGGTGTGATGATTTATATTTATGAGATCTAAGTCAAGTTCAACGTTTTTTGAAATATTGCCCTTGACAAAATTTGTTTGTTAGCGAATAGACACGAGTTTTTATTTGATTTTAATGAAATTTGGTCTGATGAATTCATGAGAATGAGATGAGATAATGAGATCTGAGTCAGGTATGAATAAGATGATTCTTTAATGAACATGAAATGGGGGCGTAAATTGCCGTCACCCATGTCCGTCCGTCCGTCACCCATGTCCCTCCGTCCGTCCGTCCACAATTGCTCGTAAACACTCTACAAGACACAATTCTTGACAGATTTTGACGAAACTTGGTGTGAGTGTTCGTAATCACCCAAGGATGAACCCTATTGAAAATCAGAAGAATCGAAAAATATTTAGCATGAGTTATTGCCCTTGGTTTTGAAAACGCGTTTAATTTTTAACTTGTAAATACTCTAGAAGGCACAATTCTTGACGGATTTTGATGAAACATGGCATGAGTGTTTGTTATCACCCAAGAATAAACCCTATTGAAAAGCAGAAAAATCGAAAAATATTTAGTATGAGTTATTGCCCTTGTTCTTAAAAACGCGTTCAATTTTTAGCTCGTAATCACTTTAGAAGACACAATTCTTGACAGATTTTGATGAAACTTGGTGTGAATGTTTGTAACCACCAAAGAATGAACCCTATTGAAAATCAGAAGAATCGAAAAATATTTAGTATGAGTGATCCTTGTTCTTGAAAAAGCTTTCAAATTTAGCTCTAATACACTAGATTGTTGCTGGATTTTGACAATACTTGGTTTTATTATTCAGTCCCGCGCTGAAGATTGAATATTTGCCTTCTAGAGTGTTCACGAGCTAAAGTTCTAATACAATGATTTTTCGATGAAGGGCATTTGAGTTATTGCTATTGATTTAGAAAAAAATCTGGAATAATTATAATAAATAACTATAATGCATTATGAAGAATAAAAGAATAAAATGCATATTTGAGTCACTGAAGACTGTTGTTATTTCTGACAGTTTGTAGTGGGCTTATGTTACCTTGCCTGGAAAGCTATCTTTTGAATATTTAATGAATTTTGCTTCTGCAATTACAGACCAAGTAGTGAACAATTATCTCAAAGTTTACAAGATGGTGTAGTTGTTATGGGAGGTGAATATATAGATTTTGGTAGGTAAAGCTTCTATCAACATTTATAGATTAATTGTGATCTGTGCCCATTCTCTCAACTTGTCCTAAAATATTACAAATTTCTATTGTGTTTTACTGAGACTGAGTAGTTAAATATTCATGATGTCACAAGATTTTCAAAAAGGTCAATCACAATTTACAAACACAGTCACGAGATACATGAATATTATGTAGGTACGGGAAAAAGGTTGCTTTATTAACATACAGTATGCTAGAGGAAGATGTTACAAGGTTGTTTTTTGTTTATTTTTATACGCCCACATGAGTATATTGTCGCTACATCAACAAATGCTTGTAAACACTCTAAAAGGCACAATTCTTGACTGATTTTAACGAAATTTGGTTTGATTGTTTGTAATCACACAAGGATGAACCCTATTGAAAATCAGAAGCATTGAAACATATTTAGTTTGAGTTATTGCCCTTGTTCTTAAAAACGCCATTTAGAATATAAACACTCTAGAAGGCCCTATTATTGACAAATTTTGACGAAACTTGGTCGTATCATACGGTATCGCCCTAAAAAGTTCAAAAGAAGTGTAAGACTTACAGTTGAATTTTTCATACTGGTAATTGTTACTGTACTGCCATATATTTTTATTTAAAATCAAAGCTGCCAGTGCGCTTATATAATCTTGCCTGGCAAGCTATCTTCTCTGTCAAAATGCATAAGTCACACAAGAGGCTGGTATGGGAAATTTAATGATTAACTCAAGTCCCTCTGGTTCCTTGTTGAAGTTAATATAACTTAAGATGGTTATTTTCAGGATTACTAAGTACCCCACAATTACATTATTTAGTAGTATGTACTAATACTAATGGTGGTTATGGACAACCCACTGAAGAAGGGTATTATGTTAAATTATCAAAAGCATTCCTAGATTTATGTCAAGAGGTAATTTGGTTTGGATATTTGAAAAGTTCAGGTTAATTTTTATATGCCCACATGGAAATGTGGACATATATTGCTGTCCGTCCACATTTGTTGTATGCACGACAGAGGCTACAGTTTTTATCTGATCTTGATGAAACTTGGTATGCATGTATATATTGATGAGAACTCAGTCAAGTTTGAAATTGGTAATAATCAGATGAGCGGTTTTAGACTTATTGCCTTTGATTTAGTAGAAATGCGTTAAATTTGGCTTGTATGCAAGATAAAGGCTGCAATTTTTATCCGATCTTGATGAAACTTAGTATGCATGTATATATTGATGAGATATCGGTCAAGTTTGAAATTGGTAATAATCGGATGAACGGTGTCTGAGTTATTGCCCTTGATTTGGTAAAAATGCTTGTATGCACGATAAAGGCTGTATTTTTTATCCCATCTTGATGAAACTTAGTATGCATGTATACATTGATGAGATCTCAGTTAAGTTGAAATTGGTAACAATCGGGTGAACGGTTTTGGAGTTATTACACTTAGATACTGCTTCATTGTAACGGGATTGCTACTCGCTGGCGGACTTCAAATATTTCTCAGTAACGATTTTTCTGACCTTGCTGTGCGGAGTACTTGGCTGTGAGATGGGGTTGGCTTCTGCTAAAGACCACAGCGTGAACTGACCTTCTTGTAGTGGTTCTTCAAATGGGTTGCCTCTCTCTCAGGAATATGCTGCTTATCATGGACACTGGTGATCTGGAACACCCGTTCATGAACAGTAACTTCTACACCATGCACAGTTTCTTGGTTCCTTACATCAATTCCTGTGGCCACAATACTGCCTTGATGGTAAAGTTCTTGTTCTAGTCCACGTTTAACTGCTGGTGTGGTTCTGCGTCTGCTACACAGGTGGCCTGAGAGACCTCTAGTTCAATGTATTCTGATGGTATCATATCTTCATCTGTGAGACCTTCAGCGTCTAGGAGCTCTAACATGGAAAACTCGGTACGCGGGTCTTGCCCAAATACTCCTGCATATGGTGGCTTGCTTGTGGTACTGCTGTTGGAAGTGTTTATAGCATAGTTAACAAACAGAAGTCCCTGAGACCAACCTTGATCTGTATGTTCTTGTAACCACTTGCCTAGTTTCTTCTGAATGTCACCATTTCCACACTCAACACATCCTTGTGACTGGGGGTGTCTTGGACGACCTTGTAAAATCACCAACCTGGCCACAACTTCTTCAGTTCATCAATAACCTGGTTCACAAATTCTCGTCCATTATCAGAGTGAAGCAGTCTTGGACATCCAAATAAACAAAAAGTCTGAACAAGTCTCTCTGCCACTCCAGCTGCATGCTTAGATACTAGAGGGTAAATCCAACTAAACTTAGTAAAATGGTCTGGCATGTGCAATATCCACTTGTCTGGTCTACTTGTCATATCTATAAGGTCTATTTGCACTCTTGTTAGGTAACCCAAAGATATGATAGGCTTACTGGTCTGTGGTTGTTTCAGTGGTTGACGAACACTACGTGTGGAACATGTCTTCAGGAAGTGTTGAATTGCTTCGTGTCTGATCCACCCATAGTTGTTGCGAACCTCGTCCCATGTCTTGTCACGTCCAGAGTGAGCAATACCTCCATGACATCTGAAAAGATATATATTATTTATTAATGATAAGTTATAAGATTTACATATTGCTCAAAATAATAATAAAATACATGTAATAACACATTTTTTATTTTAGACATTGATCTGGCAACCGACTCCTGTATAGTACCATGTATGTGATACGAAAATAAAAATCAGGTTTATGTGTCAAAATGACAAAATCAAAAGTTTGAGGTTCTTAGTGATTATATACACAATGAAAACTCCCTCTTGATGGTAACATTCATCTCTTCTTTGGTGACTATAGGATGGGAAGTCTTCTTACAGTACAAAATATCTGTTGATCCAATTGTGTGAAGCTTAAAATGTTTATTACACCAGAATTTGAACTGAGCAGTATCCGTACACTTTGCTCGTTTAGGTAGCTTTAATGCAGCAATTGCACGATCATACTTTTCTTGTGTTACAAAATAGGTATCTTTATTTCTATTAGACAGACTAGCAACTGTTTCATCTAACAACCTGTAGAACTCTGTTTGAGCTGGAGAAGACATTGCGATGGTTTAATCTGTCTCCTTCAGAAACATGTAATGAATTGGCACCACAGAATGGCCACTTTATATATGTTTCTTGAGCCAAATATAATCAATTAACTGGATAATGTCAAGTTGTGGATTAATAGGAGTTAATATTAGATGATATTTCTCAAAATATATATTATTAATTAACTTGAACAAATATAATCAATTAACTGGATAATGTCAATTTGTTGTTGAATGTCCTTCCAAATTGTGATATTAACATCACTAGTGAATGTCTTTCTTTAATTTACACATTCAAAAAAAAGAAAAAAAAAAGCCAAAAATTTGTGCAGAAAATATAGTTTACATACATGAAGGAATCGGTTAATTTAAGTCCTGAAACTTGTTCAGGAGGATTCCAAATTGTCCTAGGACAAAGTTCAATTTAAGTTTCTCCTAGGACAATTTAAAATTGCCATAGGAGAAACTCTAATTGGAGTTTGTACTAGGACAAAGTAAAATTGGACTTTGTCCTAGGGGGTTTTTAAATTCTCCTAGATTTTAGTTTCTACTGTGATATGGACAAGATCTCCGTCAAGTTGAAATTGGTAACAATCGGGTGAACGGTTTTGGAGTTGTTGCCTTTGAATTAATTTATTGCATCTAATTTGGCTTGAAGGACTGATAGAGACTACATTTTTTATACTATCTTGATGAAACTTGATATGAGATCTTAGTAAAGCTTGAAATTATTAAAAATCGGATGACTGATTTCACATATTAAACCACCACTTTGTTATTATTTCTGACAGCTGGTAGTGGACATATGTTACCTTGCCTGGCAAGCTATCTTTTAGTCATGTCAGGGAGTGTTCCTGCTCTTGTATTAGTCAATTAAGTATTTCAATTTAATAAATCATACTGAAACTGACATTGCTTTGAGCTTTATTTTGATGTTGATGAACTCTTGATGTAATGCAAAATGCTTTTAACTATAATTGTTTATTATTTTCTTCTTATAGCAAGATTCTCGATCATTAAAACATTATAAAAAGAAGTTGTATGTTGATGGTGCAAATGGTGTTGGTGCTGAAAAATTAAAACTGCTATTAAAACATTTAAATAACTTATTAGATATAGAAATCTTTAATGATGGGACAGAAGGAAAACTCAATTATCAATGTGGTGCTGATTATGTAAAGGTTCAACAAAAATTACCACTAGGTCAGTGAAAAATACACTGTTTTTAATTTAAAAAGAAAAGAAATTTCCTTAATAAATCGATATATGTATCTCCTATGGAATGTAACTGTATTGAAAGCATTGCAACTGATATATTGATATATGGAAACATGGAAGCAATTTTCAGATTTATGATATTTTGAACTGTACTTTCACCATAAACTTAAAGATGAAAATGAAGCTGTCAGTGTTTAGCTTTTTTTTTAACATAGTGTAATTAGGTACTATATGGTATTATTGTAGGTATGAAAGTTGAAGGGGGTGTAAGATGTGCTTCTTATGATGGTGATGCTGACAGAATTGTTTATTATTATTTAGATCAAGGTAAGCATAGATATGTCTTTACTTATCTCACCATTACAAGGCATTCAAGACTAACAATTTGAAATTGAAGCTGTATTGACAGGATGAACACCTGTCTGGTATGATTTCAATTATGATATTTATGTAGTACATATCTGTTTTTGAATTTCCTGGGTATACTAGAATAATAATCTTATCTAATTGTATAAATCTAAAAGTTATATAGTGAAAGGTGTGACTGATTTATATTTCAGATGGTATATTTAGATTACTAGATGGTGATAAAATAGCTACATTAGTAAGTTTTCCTGAGTAATCATTGGTAATTTGAACAGTTCTAGAAGTATAAAGATACTTGTTTATGACTATCATCTGGTTCCATGTTCAGTAAAATATCATTAACTTTAACTCCCATGTTTGTACCAGCTGGTCTGATTATGGAGTTTACATCTGAAACTGATTTTATTACAGCTAATGGCACAAAATAGGTAATTGCCTGTGCCAATCAAAAACATACAGCTTATGGTTGATAACCATGATGTATGTTTTCATGCGAATATATTCAACATTTAGTGACAAAGTTATTCTCCTGTTTTGCTGTCATTTTAAAAAAAACTGGATAGTGCCCTAATTTTTAATGATATCATAATCCAAACAACATATACCCAAGTTGAATGTGACCCTTTTTCACTATCATTTTTTAGGTGGCTGGTTATTTACAAGATTTAGTAAGTAGGAGTGGATTAGATTTAAACCTAGGATTAGTACAAACAGCTTATGCCAATGGTAGTTCAACTCAGTATATCACACAGCAGTTGGTAAGCATAAATAAAAAATTTTTTACCAAAAATTGGGAACCACTTCAACTCAATCAACCATTCCTTAGCTGATTTGAAGGTGATACTGATTGAGCAAGTAATCAATCCCAAGACATGAAGACTATACAGGGAGAACTTTTGAACACTGCCTCAACTTCTGTACTCAATATTCAGTTTGATTCCCAAATAATACCATTTGTATCCCCCTTTTTGATAATAATTATTATTTATATACTTTACAGTAATGGCTTGGATAAATATAAGAAAATTTTTTAGATTTGTATCGTAGGCCTACAAAACCTTTCCAAATTACTTACTTCTGCTTATTTGACTAAATATAGCACATTATATTGAACAATAACTTGTTACTTTCAATCACCCTAATCCCTTAAGTGAAGAGGGAATGATTTTAGTGTTGCATAAATTGATATCAAATACAAATCTCTCTCAATTTTCTGTATTAAGAATGTCTTCGATTTCAGAAAGTTCCTGTAGCCTGTGTGCCAACTGGGGTAAAACATTTACATCATAAAGCACAAGATTTTGATATTGGTGTATATTTTGAAGCTAATGGACATGGAACTGTAAGACTGAATTTATTTTAAGTGTATAGATCTTTATAATTTCATTTTATGACAAAGACTTTAAAATACAAGACACAAAAAGATAACAACAAGCTTATACAAAATGAGCATGACTTTTTGGGAAAAAACATGTGAGCAACTATATAATTGCCTTTAATATGCTATTATTCCTCTTTCTTTTTCTGAGTATTTCAATTCTATATTTATTTGTCTAGGTGTTATTTAGTGATACTGCAATGAAGAAGGTAAAAGAAGCCAAACAAGGTTCAAGGTAAATATTAAGAATTTTAAAGATATTTACATTTACATGTACTATAAATGATGTCTTTTTATACGCCCACATGAAATGGGGTGTTCAATAAAATATAAGACACACAAACCATTTCACAAAGTTTTTTACTGGTCCATTTTTGGTTGATCCAAATAATGTGGATACTGTATAGCACAACACATCGGTAAACATTCAAAAAAATAATCTGCTATAGAAAAAACTTTAGGACTATTTAGTTTTTTCTATAGCAGATTATTTTTTTGAATGTTTATACATGAAATGGGGGGCGTATATTGCCGTCACCCATGTCCGGCCTTCGGTTCACAATTGCTCGTAAACACTCTACAAGGCACAATTCTTGACTGATTTCGACGAAACTTGGTATGGTTGTTTGTAATCACCCAAACATGAACCCTATTGAAAATCAGAAAGATCGAAAAATAATTAGTATGAGTTATTGCCCTTGTTCTTGAAATTTTAGCTTGTAAACACTCTAGAAGGCACAATTCTTGATGGATTTTGACGAAACTTGGTGTGAATGTTGGTTATCACCCATGGATAAACCCTATTGAAAATCAGAAAAAGCGAAAAATATTTAGCATGAGTTATTTCCCTTGTTCTTAATTTGTAACTTGTAAACACTCTAGAAGGCACAATTCTTGACGGATTTTAACGAAACTTGACTTGACTGTTTGTTATAAGCCAAGGATAAAGCCTGTTGAAAATCAGAAAAATCGAAAAATATTTAGTATGAGTTATTGCCCTTGTTCTTGAAATCTTGTTCAATTTGTAGCTCGTAAAAATTCTAGAAGGCATGATTCTGACAAAGCTTGGTTTTATTATTCAGTACCGCCCTGAAAATTGAATATTTGTCTTTTAGAGTTTTCACGAGCTAAAGATTGAACATGTTTTCAAGAACAAGGGCAATAACTCATACTCAATATTATTCAGTATCGCTCTAAAGAGTTCAATAGAAGTGTTTTACTGAAGGTTGAATATTTCATACAGGTGATTGTTACTGTACTGCTAAATATTTTTATTCAAAATCAAAGCTGCCAGTGGGTGTATATAACCTTGCCTGGCAAGCTATCTTTTATGCTACTGAACATCAAGTCTTAGATTGCAACATTTTTATTGAATGATTCTATTTCAGTTTAAGTTCAGACAAGAGACAAATAATTGTACGACTTTCGACAATGATAGATTTAATTAATCAGGTTAGTTAATTTTTTTTCTTTTTATTAACCTCACCTAAAATCTCTATAAATAAAAGATTAATAGTGTGGTGATGCTAATAATCAGCTAGTGAATACTTTGCTATTATAATATAGATTTTCCTGTATTACAAACAAGAATGTTATTTTGACTTAACTTATTGTAGACAGTAGGTGATGCTCTATCTGATATGTTATTAGTGGAAGTTATTCTGAGAACACATGATTGGAACCCTGGTTTATGGAATAAATGTTATACTGATCTTCCTAACAGACAGCTTAAAGTCAAGGTTAGTTATTTTCTGAAAGCATTATGGATTATAATAATATAGTGTGTAGTTTATTAACATATTAATGCACAATAAGATACAAAAGTCATCATAAACAGTATCATATCAACAACTTGCCATCTATAACATCCATGTTTGATATGTGCCTGTTGTAGAGGTGTAAAAGACTTTTATACTTTGTGACAAGAGTAGTAATTTTTAGTCAGAGTGATTTTGTACTGGTAATATTAAGAGTTACATGTCTAGACACTATTGAAAGATAAATAAATATATGTAATAAATTTGTTCAGTAAGAAATGTACTATTGTCTGTAGGTTAAAGATAGGAATGTTATATCAACTACTGATGCTGAGAGAAAGGTTGTGACACCAGAAGGTTTACAATCAGCTATTGATAATATTGTATCAGAATATAAACAAGGTAGATCCTTTGTACGACCATCTGGTACTGAAGATGTTGTTAGAGTTTATGCTGAGGCTGATACACAGGTAATTTATGGTTTTTAAACAAAAAAATGATATGATTTGTTTTCATGAAATAAATGCAAACTGAACATAAATGACAAAGCTATAAAGAGAATTGTATAAGATATATCCTTATGACATAAATGAAAAAGAAAAGAAATAGAGCAATGATACTATTAAGAACAGATTGCAAATGCAGAAACTTCAAATTTTAAATCTATTGATTGATTGTATTCTCTACAGTGTAACCAGCTTCTCACAGATCATGCCAGTCACTAAGTCAACCCAAAACCCAACCTACTGTTAGAATAGTGCTTAATTCAAATGAACTTAATCTCAAATCCATTCATTACAGGAAAATACTGATAAATTGGCTAAAGCTGTTGGACTAAAGGTTTATGAATTAGCTGGTGGCATTGGTGACAAACCATAGACTCTTCTATGACATTAATGAACAAATTATTTGTGACATAAAAAATGCTGGGAACAACAACTTTAGTTTGGTTTATAAGTTACTATATCAATGTTTTAAGAAAAGGGCCATATATATTTGATATATTCATTTTAATTTTTATAAAATGTTCAGCTTTATATATGTAAAATATGCAATACTTTAAGTGAAACAACGTCTAGGAATGAACATCAAATTGAAGTTCTCAAGAATGGTCAATATGAGTATATATTCATCAGTGAACTTACCTGGTGTCATAAAGTTACAACAGAATCCCTGTAAAATTTGGAAAATTGGAAAATTCATAAAACTAAGTAAATATTGAAAAACGCTTAATCTAAGTATTAAGCGTTTTTCAATAGTTAATTGCATCTTTATGGATAATTACTAAGTTTTTTGGATTTATCGGATTATATATTCTCTTATTGGCCAAGAATAAAGTTCTTAAATTTCATGTTCTTTCTTAGAGGTGGTATTCCTATAATGGCAATGCATTTAATGTATTTTGAATGTTTGTGGGATTTTTTTTTTATAAAGTTGTGATGATTGAAAACCTCTATATTTTGTTTTGTTATAGTATATATTATATTTTTGATAAATTTATCACAGATTAACCATTAATTGATTGTTTATTAGTATCATTAATATTTATGATAAATATATCACATTGTAACTAAATCGTGTCATGTTGATCAGCACAAATAACACTTAACTCAACACAATGAGACAAGGCTCTGTTCACATTAGTAAAGTTTACAGGATGATAACAAAAAAACAGAGAAGAATTGAGTGGAAATTGAAAATATTTTAATTATTAATGAAAAATGATATAAATTGCAAATAAAATGATTACATCACATTTATCCTTAAGTCATTACACATAATTTCATGCAGCCACATTCATTAGAATTAGGATAACACAAGCATATACTGATATGTACGTATAATGAAGACAATCATCCACATTGGCAATTGCAGAGCATTGCGTACTGCTTCAAGTTCAGAGTCCATTCAATATACACCTTTCACAAAACGAAACAGCCTGTAGCACACAGGGCCTCCAACCTGCATCACTGACAGAGGTTAACAGGGTTGAAAAACCTGAAGGTATTGTCTTCACTCCTGTCTAGATTGAATCCTCAACTTTCATGTTACTGTGGCACCCTCCCAAAAGTGAGAAACACAAAAGAAATTAGCTTCTAACACACAAATATATGGTAACCACACGTCCAAAATCAGCCTTGGTGCATGTCTTTATGAAGTTTACTCTAGCTTTATTATTCCTATCACAGATTGAGTCTTGGTGTGATCAGTTTAGTAGTATGGTACCCAATTACTATCATCGGCAGGATTTAACATACCAGTTACTAATAGTACTATATCTATAATCCACCAAATACCTACACCACCTAATGTTAATAATTTACCTACTGCTGTTCCTACAAAAATAAAAAAAAATTGACATTTCTAGTAAAATCTATGTGATGGATTCTCAAATGAATAAACACAAAAGGATTCAATAACCAAGTGTGAGAAAATATAATAAAACAAACCTGTGTGTCCTAAACAAAATCTGTCCATTCCAAGAAAACCAAGTAAAACTGAATATATTAATGTTGTTACAAAATAATGTCCATTATATCTACAAGTAATGAAACAAAATTATATATTATAATGATGCTAAACTAGATCCCAAGTAAGCAAGTCCTTGGTAGATTTGCATGGGAATTTTGATTTCATCAATATTTTCCATCCTGATTATGACAAAATGTTTTATTTCCTTGTTCATAAGATATTTTCCTTCCAAAACAGGACATTTATTTTAAGCATTTTTTCTTCTTAAATATAGGATAAAGTCCTGCCTACCATATAGTAAATTTCCAAAAAATATATATTGAACTACTTTGCAATGTGCAGACAAACAGGAAATTTTACTCAGGATGATAATGTGTGATGTACCAAAGATAACAATATTTACTTACTTTATACAAGGAAAATCACCATGTAAAAAAGTTCTATTTCCATAACATTCTATTCCAGGAAAAACTGTACACCACACTTTAGTTTTCTCTACATCTTCATATCTTTCTCCTCCCCACTATCAAAGGAAAAAGAGAGATTGTACTAAAACAATTTATACTATTGACTATTTATGTAAACCTTCTACACGATTCAAGATACACATGAGCTTTAAAGGAGCATTCTGATTTCAGTCAGAAAAATCTTTTGCTGAAATTTATGTATTCTGAACACAAATCTACAGAAATGTGTCCATGAACTTATCTGAAAGTTTTAACTTATAATAATAATAATAACTTTAATAACAAGGAGGGGGGGGGGGGGGGGGGGAAAAAATGCTGTTAACTTTATAA